TTTTTGGCGCCGAAGGCGCCAAAAATTTTTATTTTCAGCGCCGCAGGCGAAAATTTTTTGAATTTTGGACCTCAAGAAGCCAGATTTCGTCCTTTTTTAGCGCCGCAGGCGAAAATTTTTTAAATTTCAGAGGCCGTAGGCCAAAAAATTCACTTATTTTGCCCCAGCCCTTCCCCAAATTTTTTCCTTTTTCCCATTTCGGGGGGGGGGGGGGGGAATTCCCCCCCTCACCCCCCCCCCTGGTTACGGGCCTGCTGAAAATACAAAAAATTTGGGGAGTTTTTTAGCCATACATAGTCCTACTTGAGATTTTTTTCGAAAATTTTTACACTTTAAAAAGTCAATATTTTTTTAATTATTCCAGGATGTCGATTCATCATCTATCCGTGATAAAACACATTGGCCAGGTAAAAATGTCCTTGGAAGAATTTTAACGCGAATTCGAGATGTCCTTAAATCTAAAAAAGAATATTTGCATGAATGGGAAGAAGTAAATCGGCGGCAAACTATTTGATGAAAATTAAACTTCAAATCATTTAAATATATTGAATGGTAATTTTTAGATATTTTTTTTCTTTTTGTGTTAAAAATATTTATTTGCTCTCCAGTTCATCCTTTAATTTGTAATTAGAATATATTTTGTTTTTAAATAAAAATACTTTTGATTTATTTTTCTTCAAAATTTTTTTTAAACATATTGATAAATTAGTTATAGGTTACTCTTTCAATTTTTGTTTATTTTTTCTGTAAACCAAAGAATTATTGTTAAATTTTGCTATGTCATTTTTCCTTATATAAATGTAAAATTTGAATTGGTATTTAATTTTACTTGTTAAATTTCTTTTGATTATTTGAATACTTTTTAAATATTTAAATCTCATTGATAATATAGAAGGGCGGCAATGGTTCTTAAAGTAAATATTTCTTCATATTTGGATCAACAACTGCCAGAAATTCCAGCAGAAATTCGTGAATACCTCACAGGTTTATTTTCCTAAATTTAATATAAAATTTTTCAAATTTTAGATTTGTTAAAAGAGAATGAAGATGACATTGCCACTGTTGATGACATGTGTGAAGCTGTTGGGGAACATATTCAGGGATTTTTAACTGAAATGAGTGAAGCTGAACTGCAGAAAGTTTGCTTGAATTTACTTGTTATTTTACATGAAGGGTTATTTTTATTGAAAATATTTTTTTAATTTAATTTTCTAGGAAAGATAATAAGCCAATAGTTAGAGCATTGGAAGCGAGAAAATTAGAAAAAACTGTTGATATGAGCCTTCAAAGTGAAACTTACAAATTAATGGATGATTTGTGGAAAGTTACTGCCAATGATGTTCCTCTTCAAGCTGATAAAAGAAAAGGGTTGGCAAAAGGAAATGAAGAAAAGAAGAATGATGCCCCGCAACAAAAGAAACAACAGAGGCCGAAAATTCTAGCAACTGCCAGTCAAACATTGAATAGAGCTGCCAAATCTGATGTTAGATTTTTAATTATAATAAAAGATGAAAAAGTGGCGTTGCTGACCGGGATTCTTAATCTTTCTTATTCAAATTTTTTAGGATTGACGTAAAAAATTTTTTATTTCCCATAACGATTATATTTTTATTTTATTCTCATTCATTTTCAAAACTGGGTTCCTGTACTAGTTTTTTTGAGATATATTTAATCGTCAAAATTTTTTTATATTTCAGATGGGTGGATTGGATTTCAAGCTTGAAAATGTGGATATCTCATTTGGTAGCAAACAACTTCTTTCTAGCGCAGAACTTTCGATCGTTTATGGACGTAGATATGGACTTGTTGGGCGAAATGGAATTGGAAAAACTACTTTATTAAAAATGATTTCGAGGTTTACGTTTTGATTTAAATGTTAATCCATTAGATATTTTTATTTTCGTTTGAGTTTCCTATCGTCCTTTCCTATCGTTTTTTGATCCTTATGTCTATTTATGACTTGAGACAAACTCGATCCGAATCTTCTTACTCCATTATTGTCCTATCTTTGAAAATCTCAATATTTTTAGCAAACAACTCATCATCCCTTCAAACATAACTTTTCTGAGTGTGGAACAAGAGGTCGAAGGGGACAATACTCTAGTAATTGATGCTGTACTTGCATCTGACACAAAACGTGAGAAATTACTAAATGAAGAGCGTGAACTTCAGGAACGGATAAATTGGTTGGTATATTTTATAAAATAAATTTATTTAATTTTTCTCATTATTTTAAAAAAAAGTTCTGAAACTTCTGATGAACTGCGCACAGAACTTTCCGCCCGTTTGGATGCAGTTTATGCAGAGCAGCAAGCCCTTCAATTAGATAAAGCTCCAGCTAGAGCTGCAACAATATTGTATGGACTTGGGTTTAAACCAGATGAACAAAAGAAGCCTACAAAGTTTGGAAAGAATCACATAAATGTTTAAATATTTTTTAGAGAATTTTCTGGTGGTTGGCGAATGCGTGTAGCGTTAGCAAGAGCATTGTTTATTAGACCAGATTTGTTATTACTGGATGAACCGACAAACATGGTAAAGTTTGTTTATCACTCCAATATCTTTTAACAACAAAATTTTTGACCTTATATTAATAATAAATTCAAAAATATTTTAGTTGGACATGCGCGCTGTTTACTGGCTTGAAAATCACTTACAAGTTTATCTTTAATCAATTAACATTTTTATAATTTTAAGGAATGGACTGGTACAATCTTAACGGTTTCTCACGACAGAAAATTTCTCAACACTGTTTGTACTGATATGATACATTTGCATTCTAAAAGATTGGATGCTTATAAAGGGAATTATGACAATTTTGAAAAGGTTGCTAAATTTGTATTTATATCTTAAATATTTTTTAGGCAATGAAAGAGAAGTTAACACAGCAACAAAGAGATTATGAAGCACAACAACAGCATCGACAACATGTTCAAGAATTTATCGATAAATTCCGTTATAATGCAAAAAGAGCTTCAATGGTTCAATCAAGAATAAAAATGCTTGAAAAATTGTAAAATAAAAGAAAATACTATAAAGTAAAAATAAATTTAAGGCCCGTTATTCACGCTGTCGAGTTTGAGTCAAATGTTACATTTCAATTTCCAGAATGCGAAAAATTGGGTAACCCGGTGCTTCAATTAGATGAAATGGCATTTAGGTATTCAAAAGATTCGCCTTACATCTTTCAGGTTTTCTATTTGGATTTATGTTTTCATTTTTTTATTTAGAAAGTCTGTATGGGCTCGCGCTGTGATTCACGTATTGGCATTGTCGGTGAAAATGGTGCTGGAAAGACAACATTATTGAAATTACTACTCGGTGAACTAAACCCAACAAGTGGTGTAAGGAATGCAAATCGTCGTTTACGAATTGGTTACTTTACTCAACACCATGTTGATCAACTTGAAATGGACGATACTCCTTTGGAATTACTTGCACAGAGATTTCCAGGATTAAACGAGGTTAATAATTTAGAAAATATTTATTTTAAAAAATTAAAGGAGGAATATCGCGCAGCGATGGGGAGATTTGGCTTAAGTGGTGATATTGCATTCCAACCAATTGCAACACTTTCTGGTTTATAACTTTCTGAATATACTTACAATTAACTTTATTTTAAGGAGGACAAAAATCACGACTTGCGTTTACATGTTTAGCGTTACAAAAGTGGGTATTACTTTCTAATATTTTTATATTATTTTAATTTTTAAGGCCAAATTATTTGGTTATGGACGAACCAACAAACCATTTGGACGTAGAAACTGTCGATGCACTTGGAAAAGCTTTAAATAAATTTGCGGTATTTAAGAATGTTTCACAATTTACTTACTCCTTTTTAGGGTGGGGTAGTGCTTGTTTCCCACGATGAACGTTTAATTGAATTGGTATGTAAAGAATTGTTGGTGTGTAAAGATAAAACGGTTAGAGAATATTTTTATTTTATTATTGAATTTCTAAAATTTGTTAGATTACTCAATTGGACGGAGGACTTGAAGAATACAAGAAGCACGTATATAGACAATTAGCGATATAAAAAAGATAAACGAGTATTGCTTGAAATAAAATTTGGTGTTATTGTTGTAACTAAAAGTAAAACTAATTCGAAGTGTTTCTTAAATCTGTTAATAAGTTAAAATGAGAAAAATGAGAAGGTGGTATGATCCGAGGGAAAAACTCTTTGGATGTATTTTTACTTGAAAAACAATTCCCGAAAGATCCAATCACTAGAGAGCGAGATTTTCAAAAAACCTTGACTGTACATTGATCAGATTCTTGACCTTGAGTCAAGGAAAAATCAGGGAACGCTGAAAAATGCCTTAATCTGGACTCTGGATCCAGGAAAAATTAAGGTTGGATCCAGATCGCTCTCTACCAATCACTGACGTTAGAGTCTTGAGACAGACAGCACTTCCTGCGTTAAATTAAAACAAAATTTTGCTCAAAACCCCCCCCCCTCTCTTAAACACCGATCAACCCCTTTATTAACAACACAAAAAATCAACAGCTTTATTCAAGTGCCTCGGGCAAATAACAACAAACATCCACAAACATAATATTATTGAACTTTTCCTTTTTAAAACTTATCAAAGGCTTTCTTCGTTCCTGAGACTTTGATCACCTTCAAAACATTAAAACGAACGGTTTTACTCAAAGGCCTGCATTCACCGATCGTGACAATATCACCAATAGAGATATCACTAAAAGAGAAATGTAAAAGGGGAGCAGCATTTGATATGGCTCAATGCAACTCAACGAGCTGAATCGAACCATATCAGGGCGTCCAGGATTCGTTCCTTTTTAACGAAGTTATAGCTCTGCGGTACGTTGGGGTGTACCCATGTAAAAGAATCTTTAAAGTTTCCTACTCTTCTAACTAACCATTGGCTTGCGGTAGTAGAAAAATGCTTTTCAATAACGAGTATGCTCGAAAATTTTTAGATGCCCAGCTGTCCATAATTATTCAATAGTCTTATGGCAAACAAAAGGGAAATAATAATTTAAACAAACCGGAAACATGGCGAACAGTGAACGGACATGTTTTTGTGACGTTTCTCGTAGCGACGATATTTCGGAACAAAGTGCAAATAATCACGCCGAATGACAATCGTGCGCTGCATTTTGTTCTTGATAACAACACCAGTCAAAATACGGCCACGAATTGAAACATTTCCAGTGAAAGGACACTTTTTGTCAATATAATTGCCTTCAATAGCCTTTAAAAAGTTTTAAAAATTATTTGTTAGACAAGAAAAAAATACAAAACCTCGCGTGGAGTTTTAAATCCTAACCCAACATTCTTCCAATAACGATCCTTATTTTTCGGCTTTTTGCCAATTCCTTGCGTCCGAAATTTGTCGTTAAGAAAAACAGTAGGTTGTTTCTGGAAAGCTCGTTCTGTTTGCTCAGTCATTTTGATTACACTTTCTAAAATTTATATGAAAAAAGTTAAAAATAAATCAACAAATCCGATAATTAAAATCAACAAATAAAAGTATCGAAAGAAAACAGCGAGAGATAGTAGAGTCAAACATTTCGCCAACATTCGCCAATTCCAAACATTTCGCCACTGGGTACGGCCCACTTTGTCGCAGGCCACATTGTCGCGACCACTTTGTCGCAAAGGTTTTTTAGTTAAAAAAATTTTATGCTGCTATGGAGGGTAGGAAAAGGGCCTTCTGGGCACAACAGGGTTTTCTAGAGTAATCTGGTTTGGTTTTTCAACACCTTCGTTCCTTCGGAAACTGCAAACTCGAAAATGGCAGTCAGAAACAGATGGAAATCAATTAAATTTAAAAAAAAAATAAAAACTTAAAAAACAAAAAAAACTTTTCAGATTTCCCATCGTTGTAGCCGTGGGATGAAGTACGGCACGTGGCGAGCAAAATTTAGGCCAATTTTAAAATAAAAATCAAAGGAAAGCCTGCGACAAAGTGGGACTGCGACAAAGTGGTCGCGACAAAGTGGCCCGCGACAATATGGGCGTGTCCCAATTCCACTGACAGTGTTAGTATAAAAGCGCCCACTAAAGTCACCTTAGTCGGTCAGACGGTTAAGTTAGCCACTGCCTGCTCCGGGCATGGGCAACCTAATTTAATAGCAGTAGTTGCGTAGTTCTAGCTAGCCACTGGCTGCTCCGGGCTCGGTCAACCTAGCTATGTCTACGTTAACTATTGCGCTACGTGACCCCTTTGTGTTAAGTTGTATTCATTAGTCGACACATTGTGCAGACGGTGTTTCCTTAACCAAAGGGCTGGGTATTGTTAGCCACTGCCTGCTCAGGGCTTGGGCAACCTAGCTATTACCCGGCTAGGTTAGGCTAAACTAGCCACTGCCTGCTTCGGGCTTGGGCAACCTAGTTGAACCTAACCCGCTTCTTACAACCATTGCTACAATTGTTGCAATTGTCGTCTTGGTTGAGTAGGTCGCTAGCCACTGCCTGCTTCGGGCTTGGGCAACCTAGTCCTACGGGAGTGGTGGAGTACAGGGTTTGCCCGTTTACAACTGTGTACCTCCTCGCGGTGTACTCTGGGCATTGATTTAAATTTTGTAAATCAATGGCTAAGCACGGTAAAAACGGGAAAAGATTGTTGATTTTATGCCTCTAATTTAATCTTCTGCCAAGTGTGAATAAAGGATAAAACTTGCAGACTTTATAGAACATAAAAGAAAACTAAAATTAACAAGTTGTGATTTTATATTGAATCCTGCTTTATGGCTAAGCTACGGTTCTTGAATTTAAACTAAAATTGCATTTTCTGAATTCTACATGAAAAAAAACATTTTATTCCATTAAACATGTAAATTTTGAATAGGTAATTTTTTCTGGAATTTCAGAAAATCAACCATAAATATCTAGAATTTAAATAAGGAAACAGATTATTTCAGACCCATTGGCCTTAGATCTCGGACATAAGAAATGACACGGAACCTAAAACCCTAAAGAAAAATTGAATTTTCTGAAAAAAAAAATTTTCCTGATAAATATATTTTTTTATTAAGTAAAAAGAAAATAGGGAACTAAAATGAACAAAATAATATTACATAAAAATGAAATTTAAAAAATTGCAAATTGTGAGCTTTTTTAAATATCAAGAGATTTTTTTAACTTATGTAATTGTGAGCTTTAAATTGTAAAAATGCTTCTATGTATTTTACGCAATGGAGAATGATTAACAACTGAAAATTAAAAATATTTTATTAAATATTTAATCTCTAAATACCTCTATTTATTATTTAAAGATTTCCCAAATATCTTCCATTATGTTTTAATAAAAATTGTTGTTGTTGCTGTCTCTGTTGTTGTCCTTCTCTTCTTTGTTGTTGTCCAACTTTTAAAAGTTCTTTTGTATATTGTTCTAATAAAATTGTTTGGTTATTTGAATTATTATTTAATTCATTTAAGGATCTTCGACTGTCCACACTTTTGTGTTTTTGTTGTTGTTGTTGTTGATGATATTCTCTTTGATTATTATCTTTTAAATTATTTTTTTTTGTTGTTGTTGTTATTCTTTCACGTGATTTATGTCTAATTGTTGGGGATGCACTTCCAATACCTTAAAAAAATTAATTTTTATTTTTTAATTTATCTGTCTGTTTATGCCATTCTTTAAACCACAATTTTTAAAATTTAAATAATAACCAGAAGTAGCAGAAGTATCTTCATTATTTCCTTTACTACTTGGAGCACTAAGTTTTGAACTTCCTTTTCGACTACTTCGACTATCTGAAGGTTTCAATATTGTTGGGGGTGTAGGTGTTGGATTGCTTAATTTATGTTTATCTCCGCCAAAACCACGAGAAGATAAAGATTTTGAACGGCCACCACTCCCAGAACGATTGGCTATATTCAACGAATTAAAACTCTGAAAATTTTAATAAATTATTTTAATAATTTAAAAATATTTTTGGTAATACATTCATCAATATCCCTGTTTTGCAAAAAAAAATTGTCAGAAGGAAATGACTTTCCTATGTAAATTATAATAATAGGCTTTAAAAAAAGAGCCTGTCATTATTCCTATATAGGGTTGTCGGTTCCTGAAAATTCCTCGGATATCCGAAACCGAACCGAAGAACCGAACCGAAAAATCCTCGGTTCTTCGATATGGTTCGGTCCAGAACCGACAACCCTATTCCTATTTATGGGGTAATTAAATGGGGTATTACAAATGGGGTAATTACCCCATTTGTTAATAAATAAAAAATATTTTTTTTTAATTATTTAGACTTCAAATCGAAAGTAGAATTATTCCAAATTAATTAACAACTTACATTAACCAAATTTTTGAAATGAGATATTAAATTAACACCACTCCCAATTAATTCATCCCTACTACTTCTTCTTTCCCTTCTTTGTTCCTTTCCATCCCCAACAACAACAGAATTAATCATTGCTTTATTAACAGAATATTTTTGAGGAGATAATTGTCTTTGGGCTGATTTTTCTATTTTTTTCTGTTTTTGTCTCAAATGTTCGTCTTGTTGTTGATAAATTGCTGGGGAGCCTGCTGCCGCATATTTATTTAAACGTTCACGACTATTTCCATTTTCTTTAAATAATTAAAAATATTTTTTATATTTCTGTGAATTAAGGGAGGAATAGTAGAAAATATTGGAAGAATCTGAGAAGATATTCAAATACCGATTTTTAATTAAAAAATGCCGGATATACGAAGATATCCCCAGGAAACGCCTACCCTAGTAACAATATATTAAGCGAAAATAAATCAAAATAAATATCTTATTCACCTCCTTTTCTATAATTATTTATTCCAGCTTCAAAAGAACCATTTCTCTGACGTAAAGTAGGTGTAGATGTTGATTTAGATGGATTATTTATTTGTTGGTGTTGATCAGTTGTTGGTGTTCCTGCTTTAGATACTGGGGCTGATGGAGTTGGGATTCTCTGTAATGATGTATACATATCTCTTGTTATTGTTGGAGGTTTTTCAGGGGAAGAAATGCCAGCTTAAAAAATATAAGGACATTAACAAATAACAAGACAATTCTCTCTCACAATTTCCCCCAACATTTAATGTTTGTGGCTGCATACTTTCTGCCCTTCTTTCCGGTAATAATATTAATTTATTTTCATCACTTCTAGAAACATTAGACATTGAAGAAAGGGGTGCAGGTCCGTTAATTGTTGTTGCCGATATTTTACTTCCATTTTGATATCTTTTGCCTATTGGGACCTTAAAAAATGAAGAGAAAATTATTTTTTTAATTTAGTTGAAATACAGGTGAATTGCTTTGAACTTTCATAAATCGTTCATTAACTGCATCAATAGATTTTCCCAAATTTTTTTGATTCATTTTAACAAGATTTTGATTAATTTTTGGTCTAAAAAAATTAATTTAATTTAATTTAAATTAATTTATTTAAACCTTAAAAATTCTTGTCTCTTATATTTTGGTTTTAATTCTTTATTATTATTATTAATCCCTCCTCCTCCATTTCCTCCCCCATCATCTCCATAAGAATGTTCTCCCCCTCCAATTTGTCCAGAAGCATTTGAAGCTAAATGTGCCTGTATATAATTCCCAGTTTGTTGTTCCTCATCCCCGTCTTCATCTCCAGTTATCGGCGCTTGTGTATCCAATAACCCTTTATTTTTATTTCCTCCAGCATTTGTTGTTGTATTAACATCTGGACAATTTTCTCGAAAAGCTGTTGTATATGAACGCCCAATTTGACTAGATTTCTGTTTATTATGGTGAGCATCTCCTTGAATTGCTGAAGAAGAACAAGGCAAAGCTTTACTACTATTTGGATCAGAAACAAAAGCATAACCATTTTCCCAATCTAAAATTTGGAAATAATTTTCAACATTTGAAATAAATATTTTTTATATCTCCAAGATTAAATATGTATAATTTAAGATAAATCTTCTAAAATTTGGTTAACTACATACTACATAGGAGGGAGATTACATAGAAGGGAGAACGGCCTAAACGATACCTTTAATATATGCTTTTTTCAATCTCCAAGTACATATTTAAAACTAGTTTTGACTTTCAATTATTATTTTTTACCAAAAGGATCATTTGCCCCAATTCCCAATCTTTTCATAGCAACACACAAACAATCCTCCAAAAGCTCATAATCAGGCAAATCCCCATAAGTTAATCCACTCAAATGTTCAGCAAAATGATGTAATTCTGACGGACTATTAAAATAATTTTTCTCTTAAAAAACAAAATTAGGTATTTTTAACAAACTTTCCATCAAGTAATTCTCGAATATCTGCTTCTTCCTTCATTCTCCCAACCTCATCTTTATCCTAATTTTTATTTAAAAATTACTAAACAATTAAGCAATAAATATGCACCTTTATTCTTCTCCAAGGCAATGATCCATTCAAAAATTCAATAAGCATATAGAAGAGAGACCATAAATCGTCTTGACGGCCCATTTCCTATAAAATAATATTAAAAATATTATCTCTAATAATAAGAATTTTAGTCAGGTATATATAACTATTTAGATAGTTATATTTAGAAGACTCTTATTTTGCAAAATATTATTACAACTTAAAATTATTTTTCTTAATCTCGTAAAACTAGGCTTTTATTATTAAAAATGTTTCTATGAGTAAAAAAGATTCACCTTATTTTTATGAGCAGAAATAGCTGCATATCTAACAGTTCCACGAAACCCAGCAGCCGACCCTTTTAAATAAAAATTTAATTCCAAAAATTAATTTTTTTTCTATTTGATTACTCGGTGTCCGTACTTCTCCTTTTGCATTTAAATAAAGTCTAGCTAATCCAAAATCTAACATATAAATATTATGTTGAGTAGATAAAGTTCTTCCAACAGCAAAATTTGAAGGTTTAATATCTCCTTAATAATTTTTTAAATTTTCTCTCTCTTTATTCTCTCTCCCTTTCCCTTCCCTTACTATGTAAAAATCCAATTGAATGTATTTCACAAATTGCTTGTAAAATATGTTGAGCAACACGTAAAGCTGTTGAGCAAGAAAAACGTTGAGTTGGGGATTCTCTGTTTTTAATTTAAATATGTAAATAAATAAATTATTTTCAAAGAACCTTCTTAAATCAGCTAAATTTTTGTCTTGTAATCCCATAACCAAATAATTAAATTTTTCGTTTCTTCCACAACCATAAAATTTACATGCATGCTTCTTCCCTAAAATAATTTTTTGGATATTGGAAAGGGTAATAATTATTGTGGAATATGAATATTTAGATGAATAATAAGGGGATTTAAGAATTCCTCAACTAACGAATGAAAACAAATATTAACATAAATGTCAAAAATATCTTAAAACAAAATTGTGCAATCAGTGCTGGTGAGTATTAGGGGGTTTATTAGGGGGTCTCTGGGGTTTTTTAATTCTTAGCTCAAGCTTCGCCTGAGCTAGCTCCCGGAGCCATACCCATCACAGGTGTTGTTGATAAACTTGCCTTGAAGTCTTCGAAGTACAGCCACCTCCATTTTAAGTACTTGTTTTGTTGCCTAAAAATTTAATAAAAATATTTATTTGCCATAAATTTATTTCTATATTTATTTTTATAACTTACTTTGCTTGATTCTACTTTAATAGCAACTCTTTCATTATGGTTTTGTAAATCAATAGCTTCATAAATTTCTCCAAAACCTCCACCACCAATTTTATTTTTCTTAAATTTATTTTTTTTAATTTTTAAATGTGAAATTGAATCCCGCAATACGAAACTCTCTGGGCCGAATTGTTGGAGTTGGAGATTAAATGATTAAATTAATTAAATTAAAAGGTTTTGGAGATTAAATGTGTGTGTGATTGGAAAGAGACGTATTGGAGGGATTCCCCTAAATTTATTTATTTATTTACAATTTTCCAACGTTCTCGAATTATTTGTGAAGGTTGTAGAATTTCACATTCGCTAGAGCTTGTCATTAATTTTTCTTAAAAAATTAATTTTAAAAATATATTACAGTTAAAAATCTCTTTAAATTAAAATAAATTTTTAACGTTAATCCTTTTTACTTAAAATTATTTTGTAACTATAAATTCCAAAATTCTCAACATTTTCCCCTGCGTACTAAAAAGGAGAATATTTAAAAATTCATTACCTAAAGAGAGAAACTGTCCAACATTAATTTTGTTCGGAAATTTCGGGCCCTTATGTTCTTCTTAAATTAAACTTTTTTTGTACTTTAGTTTCAGTTACAAAGCTTGCATAAAACGACAGAATCTACTGATAATTTATTTTTTAAATAAATTTACAGTTAAGATAATTTTAATCCTTACAAATAAATTATATTGTTGTTTAAATAAATATTCACTTTAAAAATATTTTTAATAAAAAAAAAGGCAATAATTATTTAGTAGTAGCTGTATGTAGTCAAAACCACAAATTCCTTGAAATAAATTTTGAATTTGGACGGAAGTAAATATAATTATTTTAAAGAAAATTCTAAAAAATAATAAAATTAAATTAAAATAAATTAATTTAATGGCTAGGAAAAATATTATGAAGAAAAATTATTAAATAGGACCTAAAGGAAGGATTTACCTTCAAAACACATAAACATCCGTTTGCAATAAAGGATTAGTGTTAGGGAAGGGAAGGAAAATTAATTAGAAATATTAGAGAAAAATATTAATTTTTTAATTTTAATTATTTGTTTAAAAAAGTTGTGATAGCCAAAACAGGTGAATAAATCCGCCCTGTTTCCGTTTTAAAAATTCACCTATTAAGAAAATTTTTTTAATTATTCGGACCAGACGTGGGCGAAACGTTTCGTTTCGTTTCGTTGTTTCGTATGTTTCGTATGATTTTTACTGTTTCGTCTCGTTTCGTTACGAAACACTTTTAAATTTGTTTCGTTTCGTTTCGTTACGAAACACCTGTGATTTTTCAACGAAACGAAACAATTTTTTAAGCCTAAACTAAGGCCAAAATCTATAAAATTTACCATCTTTTATTGAAAATTTAAAAAATTTTCGCCTGCGGCGCTGAAAAAAAAAGAATTTCGGCTTCTTGGCTTTCCCAAATTGTCAAAATTTTCGCCTGCGGCGCTGAAAAAGGAAGATAGCAATTACTTATATACTACACTGGAACCGGAACTTCCGGCGAAGCACTAGCTTATATCGCCTTCCTCTCGAAATGGAGATATGGAGACAATTTGGGTAGGCAATGGAGCAAGATGGTGAATTTTTTGGCCTACGGCCTTTCAAAATTTTAAAATTTTTCGTCTGCGGCGCTTAAAATAAAATTTTACTTGAAAAATATTCAATTTTATTTAAAAAAAAGCGTCGCCAAAAATTTGGCTTCGAAAATGATTGACCCCCCCCCCTTCCCCGAAAATTTTCCTTGCTACGGGCCTGGCTTATGGGACACAATTGTTGTAAATAAACCAATAACTAAATCATTTATAAGTCATAGTCGACTAATAACGTATTTGAGGTCGAATAATTTCGAAATAAATGCAGTTTTGAAAATTTTTTGAATATTAAAATGTTTCGTTTTGTTTCGTTTCGTTTCGTAAGATTTTGGTTGTTTCGTTTCGTTTCGTTAACGAAACGATTTTTAAAAAATTTTGTTTCGTTTCGTTTCGTCAGAAAAAAATTTTGAGTTTCGCCCAGGTCTGATTCGGACATTTAAATTCCCAAAATAAACTTTGTTCAATTTTAATTTAAAATTATTTTTAAAATATTTAAAAAGAACAGTTTTTAAAATTCTTTTTTGAGTAAAATTCAAAAAAGGAAATAAATTCATAAAAGGAATTAAAATAATAATTTCTTTTTTCTATTTGAAAATTCTTTAAAGTAAAAGAAACAATTCTTAAAATGTTAAAATAAAATTTCTTTTCTTAAAATTAAAAACGGAATAGAATTTTTTTAATTTTTATATCTTATTTAAATTATTTTTATTTATTTTAAAAATTATTTTAGAAACAAAAATATATTTATTTGAATATTAACTCCTCTCTCTTTATTTCCAAATCTCCAAAAATTTAAATATTTCTAATTAAAAATCAAAAAAGTTTTTATATTAAAAAGACAAAAAGAAAAATAATAAATTATCATGAATGATTGTGAGCCAAAAAAAAATTAAGCGTGGGAAGAGGACGAAACCCGCCCCCCCCCCTTCCTACTTTTTACTAAAATAAATTTTTGGTTATTAGCTATCCAAAATTTATAAATATTTTTTATTTATGATTTAATTTAATATTTAAATTAAAAATTTAATTTTCTCTTCCAAAATTTCCCTCTTTTATTTTTCTCCAAATTAAATATATTTGGGAAAATGTCAAAAATAAATTAAAATATTTTTAATTTTTCAAAAATAATTAATTCTCAAAAAAATATTTTTAAGTAAAATCTTTATTATATTTTAAATTTTACTTTAGTTAAGAAATTTACGAAAAAAACTTGGAAAATGAGACGACTAAAAAATAAAATTTAATTTTTTTTCTAGTTAAGAACAACCAACCAACCAACTATCTACTAAACACTTTTTGATGGCTAAAGTTAGTTAATTTATTGTTTAAAAAAAGAGGAAATCAGAGAAAAGAAGTAGAGAATCGATTTAAAAAAACTTGAATCTTTTTTTAAATTTTTGTCGGGATTAAATAAAAGCAAAAAATTAAAACAAGGAAAGGAAGGGAATATGTTTATTGAACATTTGCTTAAAAATTAGAAAAGTTCATTTATTTAAGTTAATCTCTAGTAAATAATTTTTATAAAAAATAAATAAAAATATTATAAACTTTTAATAATAAAAATATTTTAATTAAAAATTTTACTAAAAAAATATATGTAAATTAATTTAATGATCTAAAAAGAAAAGGATTAAAAGACACACTAAATACTTTTTCAAACGAATAATTATGTAAGTGATAATTAATATTGGTTTAATTAAAGTCAAAAAAGAAAAAAAATTAATTATAAAAATACAAAAAAATATTTTAATAAATTTAAAAAAAAGGAAAATGAAATATGTATTTATTTATTTCAAAATAAATATATTTATTTATTTTTATCCTCCTCCCAATTTTTGCTTTTCCTTATTTTTCTTGGCAAAAGACAGAAACTTGTCAAAATAAAAAAAACTTTTTATTTTTGCGCCTTTTAATATATACAAAACTTGTTTTTTTCTTTTTTTGCCTTTCATTTGCCAGACGTGATAAAAAAGAAAAGAAAAAAAGGGTTTCTTTTTCATTTTTTAAAAAAATAAAAGAAGCCTTTAAAAAGCCTTCCTTTCCCTCCAAACATATCATGTGTTTTATTTTTTATTTATTGATTTAAATTTTTAACACATTATGAAGTGTTTGGGGGGAGGGAGGGGGGATATATTTGGGGGGGGGGGGGGGAAGGTTTTTTAATAATTCTGACAAAAATTGACAAATGATGAAAAGCTAGAAAGAAAAATTATGAAAAATATGGCATGACATATGTTTGAAGGGAAGAAAAAAAATAGTTTAAAAGTTTTTTTTAAAAAAATTTAAATTTTAACTAAATTGATTGATGGATTAATTAAAATAAAAGGTTAAATAAATTTTTAAAATTTATTTTGTAAAATAATTGAAAATATTATCAATATGGTAATGGATTTGTGTCTTGTATAGAGGGGGGGGGGATTATCTTTACTCAAATAATCGAAGGAACGAAGAGGGAGATAAAAATTTTAACAATATTTTATTAATATTATTTAGAAAAAAATAAAGTATTTTAAAGTTAATTTAACTTTAATGTTCAAGAATTCTTTCGTAAACAAAAATTTACTTTTCAAAAATTTATTTATTTTTCCCTCACCAAGTCAACCGTATTATTATTATTATTAAAATACCCTTTTTAAGCGGAACACTAATAAAAATTATTTTAAAATAAATATGCAAGCAATTTGAATAAAAAATAGAATTTTATGGCAAATAAAAAATATAATTTTAATTAAAATAGGGGTATTTACATGGATGAATGAGAATAAATTTAAAAGAAAAAAAAAGTTTTTTTAGAAATTTCGTAAATAATTTTAAAGGGGTTTTTAGTTCTTTAAAAATGGGATTGAGTAGAAGTCGTTCCCAATTTCAGGACGAAACTAATCCACCTCGAAAATTTTTGATGCGGTTTCAGATATCAGAGGGAGGATTTACCAAGGAGACATTACTGACAAATATTAATAGCCATAACTTTTTCAAAAATTGATCGTACATTCATTAAGAAAAAGTTATGCCTGATATCTTCAATCAATTGTCAGGTTTAATCAAAAAACGAGTCGAGGTTCGGGGGTACAACATTATTCACAGCCTATATTTACAACAACCACTACTTTTCTCAATTAACAAAAACTTCTCTAACATAAACATCTTTTACTACTTTTTTTTGTTTGTTTAGTAAATAAATTTAAAAGAAAATATAATCTTTAAATCATCATAATTATTGATCACTTTTGTATATAAAAAGCGGAAACAGCAAATAAAAAAAATTATTTGCAAAATTCAGACTGTCCAATTGTTCGCTCGCGCAAAATTATTACAATAAAAAATAAAAGAAATTAATTGATGAATGAAAAAAACATTAATTTTTATAAGTGCAAAAAAGAAAATTATTGGGGAAAATTAAAATATTTTTGAATGTTTTATTGATAAAATTTTATCTGGTAGGGAGTAGAGACCCAAGTTTAAGTTTAAGAGATTAAAAAAAATGGAAATTGATGGAAAAATGTCTACAAATAAAATTTCTGCAAAACGGACAGCAACAGAGGCCAATTTTTCGCCTCTCTCCAATAATAGCAACAACAACGAAAATCCAAATTCTCTTAATTTTCTTATTGATTGTCAAGTCAATTTGGTGAAAACAACACTAACAACAATCAATACTTTTATTCCGTCTATGACAACAGAGCAAACTCCGATTTTATTAAACTTTATTAAAACTCTGACTGAACAATTTAACCTTCTTAGTAAATCAATCGATTCACTTAAAGAAAAACAACAAGAAAAACCTTATGGATATTTTTCAGGAACAACAAAATTAAACACTATTTCAGCAGAGGAGCTAGAGCGCGAAAGAAGTGTTGTTGTGACTGGTTTGACGGAATCTACAAAAAAACTTCCATCAGAGAAAATGGCGGATGACTCCAAAACAATAACAAGTTTACTCGACTCGGTGGGGGTTGAGTGCGCACCCAGGTTTTTTTACCGTATGGGACGTCAGTCTAACCCACCCAATAATGGTCATGCCCGTCTTTTAAAGATTGTTTTACCATCCAGAAAATTTCAGCGTGAACTTCTCAACAAATGGAAAACAAATGGCAAGAAATCTTTCCCCCAAGTCAATATGCGTGCCTCAATGACACCAGAACAATTACAGCGACGAAGGGAACTAATTGAAGAGTGCAAAAAGAAGAGAATGGAGAACCCTCAATTGGACTGGATAGTTTATGGAGAAGCAGTAATTCTAAGATCGGAGGTTCACATTTTTAGAAAAAATAAAAAAATCTGACTTCAAAAAAATAATCTAAATAGATTAAATACTATTAATTTTTTATATTTTAATTCAAGAAGTTTAAAAAACAAATTGTCAAATTTACACTTTCTGTTATTAGAAAACCGTTATAAGTTAATAGGGGTTACTGAATCATGGTTGACTGATATAGTTGATGATAATCTTTTACTACATGGTACCCCATATAATATTATCAGAACTGATAGGGCCAATGGTAGGGGTGGAGGAACTTGCTTATTTATATCAAATAAAATACCATTTATTAAAATAGAAATCCCCCAAACTTTATCAGAGATATCTTGTATAGATTTATTAACCCCAGATGAAAAAATTCGTATTATTTTGATTTATAGATCAATCACTAAAGAAACCATTAAGGATTTTAAATCTATCTTGCAAATCTTGTATGATATATCGGCTGTATCCTACCCACTTATCTTATTAGGAGACTTTAACCTACCCAATATCGATTGGGAAAATTATAGTACTCAAACCAAAAATACCAAAGAAACATTATTTTTAGAATATATTCAAAGTTTAGGACTAAAACAAAAAATTGATAAACCCACTAGAGGAGTAAATATATTAGACTTACTATTAACTAATGAGGATGAATTAATAAAGGCTATAACAATCAATCCGCCTATAAGTAAATCTGACCATAATACAATAGAATTTGAAATATCTTCTACTAACAATTACCAAGATAATAATTATACATATCCAAATTTTCGTAAAGCTAACTATGAAATAATTAATGCACATTTCTCAACAATAAACTGGAATCTAGTATTCACACAATGCTCTGATATAAATCAACTATATTTCACTTTCCAATCGATTATACATAATGTTATTTGTTCCTTTGTTCCCGAATCTAAAGTAAAATCTAACAATCTCAAAAAACCCGAACACATTGAAAAAATGACATTATATCTAAAAAATCTGTGGAAACAAAAATCCACGCCAGAGCTAACACGTAAAATCTCATATGTATCAAAAAGAATAGATTCTGAAACTAACAAATTTTTAAAAAATAGAGAAAAGCATAAAACACAAACTATCAGTCAAAAATTCTCATACATCTCTTCATTTCTTAAATCCAAAAACAGGAAAATAACTTCAATTTTGGATAAAAATAATCAATTAGTATACGCTGATAATAAAATAGCACAAATTCTAAGTACCCAATTTAGTTCTGTATTTAATAAAAATTCATTAGACAATGCAGATCTAAACTCTATAACAAATCAAAATACATGTCAATCCGTAATCATAAATGAACTTCAAATCTTTGATCTTCTTTCTAAGCTACCTGAAAAAACTAACTCTTCTTATGACTCAATACCATGTATATTCCTTAAAAAATGCGCTAAAAGTCTTTATTATCCTTTATATTATATTTTTTCTTATTCATTAATGACTTCAACACTTCCTGAAATATGGAAGCAAAGTATAATAATACCAATACCAAAAACATTAAAGATACCCAAAATAGAAGAATTTCGCCCAATTTCATTACTATGTTCAATCACAAAAGTAATTGAACAAATTATTGCAAACCATATATCAATTTATGTTGAACAAAATGGTATATTACCAGATTGTCAACATGGATTCAGACCAAACAAATCCGTCACTACCCAACTAATTGAGGTTCAAGATGATATATCATTTGCATTGGATAATAAAAATTTAATAAACATAGTTTATTTCGATCTAGCTAAAGCCTTTGATTCTATACCCCATGAACGTCTTTTAACAAAACTAAAAGTAATAGGAATTGAAAAATCACTCTTAAAATGGATCTCTAATTACTTACACAACAGAAAATCTGTTGTTAAAATAGGAAATGAATATTCTGAACAATTCTCTATTACTAGTGGAGTTCCGCAAGGATCTATCTTAGGCCCGCTCCTTTTTAATATATACTTATCGGACTTACCAACATTCTGTTACACTCCTGAAATAAAAATAAAATTATTTGCCGATGACATCAAAGCCTATCAAATTCTAAAAAAAACCGATTTATCTAACAATTCTTTACAATTATTTATTAATAAATTCATTCAATATTGTAACACCAATGGTCTCAACATATCATTAAATAAATGCTCAGTATTATATATAGGTAAATCAAACCCTAAATTACAATACTCAATAGGAAACCACAAAATATTCCAAATTAGTAATGAAGACAAGAATAGGGATCTCGGAATTTTCTTCACTTCTAAATTCAAGTTTAATAAACATATTCAAACAATATCTCTAAGGGCCAATAGAAACTGCTATGCATTAATTAAATCTCTAAAATCACAAGATCCTAAAATTCTTATAGAAGCATTTAATATATACGTAAGGTCAATTATAGAATTTGGGTCACCGGTTTGGAATTCTTTAACTAAGAAAAACATTAAATTAATAGAAAACATACAAAAACGATATTTAAGATTTGTTTACAAAAGAATCACAAAGGTAAAAATAGAAGATATTCCACCATACAAAACACTTTTACAACATTTCAAAGTAGAATCCCTTGAAAGTCGAAGACTTAAAGCTGATTTAAAGCTATTTCATCAAAATATATTTGGGAAAATTAAAATTAACCATAATAATTCCTATATCATAAAACAAACAAAAACTAGGGGCGAAAAATATAAAATACAACCAACACGTTGTTCAACCATGATTCGGTACAACTCCTTTTTTGTTCGAACTGCTAGAATTTATTCACTAATTCCTATAGAAATTAAAAAAAATACACCCAAAATGTTTTCTAAACTTCTTGAACAGTTGGATATTTCCAATATCTTAAATGACAAATGAGATAATTTTATTTGCTAAGCTGCTTTGATTTTTATTTTAAGGACATTTTTTATTAGCATTTTTATTTTTCGTAATTTCACTTTAAATTGTTTTATTTTTGACTGTCACACCCTAGTGGTGTAAATAAATAAATAAAATAAATAAATATAAATGATCAAATTACGGATAGTCCTACTCTATAATAATATCATGTATTTTAAATCAACAGGAAATCTAGTTACAATGTAAAATATTCTAAAAATAAATAAAATATCAAAATAATTTTATTAAATTTTTTGATTAAACAAGCAATAAGAATTTTGTTATTTCTGGGTGCTCGCGCAAATTTTGTCTTGGTAGAGTCCTATTTTAGTGCATGTCTGCGTAGTAGTATCTATTTTTTGTTGAGAAATGGTTACCGGGCAACAGCCATTTATTTATTTAATATTTATTAGAGAAAAAAGAACCTCCATTTTTGTCTGATTTTTATTTTAAATGTAGATAATAAATACCTCTATGTACCTAATAATATGCCATCCTAAAAACCATCAAAAAAATGGGGCTTAAAACAAGTCGAAAAAAACTGGATTATCTCAAAGGATTTTCTTGAAGAATATTTACTTACAAAGGTAAAAATAGAGAATTTTGAAGCAAGGACATGGAAGAAGCCAAATGTGGAAAACAAATGTTTTGATCGGAAATCGAATTTTAATTCAAAGTACATATGTCAAAAAGCAGATGTCCACATACTAATTATGTATATCCGCCGGCTTGTATCTCTAGTTTCTTCAATCAAAATGGTTAGGAATGCTTTTCTATCCTCCTATTTTTTCCTTTTCTACCTATTTATTTATTAATTACAAAATCCAAAAATATTTAGCTTTAAAACTAAAGAAAAAAGATTATCCTTTGTCTTCAAAAAGAGCAGGAAATTAACTTTTGGTATTGAAAGCAATTGGATAATTAAATAAGAAATGGACAAAAAGTATAATCCAAATGACTAAAGAAAATATTGGAAAAAGCAGGTGTGTTATTATTATTTTTTAATTTAAGTAGTTAGGGAAGGTAAAATAAATATAATTTTGACATAAAAAAGGGGATTTTAAAAAATATTTTCATAAGAAAATCCAAAAATATTTTTATTTTTAAAATCAATCAATTTTATAATATACAAAAAAATATTTAACAATATTCTACTATAAAGGTAAAGGTAATTAATTCCTAATTTTACTCACATTGTTACAACCTTAAAATACTTGATTTAAATATTTCAACAATTATTATTTACCGTTTTTCTCAACCGAATCATTGGATTCTTTTTAGAATATTCTGCCATACGTCGTTCCAATTCTAATATAATTTATGAATTTAATATATGTATTAAGTTGAAATAAATTCCTACCAGGTCTAAAATGCCGGATTAACCCCTGAAATGAATTAAAATATTTTTAGTTTTTTTAACATTAAATTTAATTAGATATTAAATTACAATTCTTATATTTAAAAATATTTTTTCTTAATTTTAATCACTTACTTGTACAGGCCAAGCAGCTGCATCACCCAAAGCACAAATTGTATGACCTTCAATTTGTTTAGTCAATTCCCATATCATATCAATTTCTTTTGGGTCAGCTTTTCCCTTTGGAAATGAATTTATTTATATTATTTAAAAATAAATTTAATTAAATTTACTTGCACAAAACGCCACCTTAAATAGGAAATAATTAATATTTAAATTATTTATTTAATTTCCCTACATTATTTTATTAAGCCAATTGCAACCTTCACGACAAGGTGTACACTTAAAATAAAAATTAGCTGAAACCAAAAATATAAACACCTGTCCACACGATTCATGTTTATAGAACATACTTAAACGTGCAATACATTTTACAATATCACACTGAAAAATTTGTTTTAAAAATTAAGAAAATGATTTTATTACAATGATCAAAAAATTTATTTCCTATGTTCGGTAATTGGATTAACATGATCCCAGATACTTATTAATATATCAAGGTAAATGAGAGATACGATTGAAGGATATATCCATATGTATTAAGTAGAATCGGACTACCTAACATTAAGCATACGTCCTTATGTCTGGAAGAATCGTATAAGAGATGCAGTAAAGCGGGGCATCGTTTATAATCCTATTATCAGACTTAAAAACGTTCAATAAAGTGCGTGTACAAATTTTTTGGGGTACACATATGTACTAGGTTAAGTCCGACTGTACCTATCAGTTAACGTCAGTCAGTTTTTAAATAACATTGGGTGCATTAATAATATGTAATATTTTTTATTGAAATGAGTTCAAACAGAAATACCTGCTTATTCATAACAATAACGGCCGCAGTCCCCAATCCAGACTCAACCTTAATAAGAGCATCAAAATCCATTAGAACATCATCACAAATGCTTAAAAAATAAAATTTTAAAATTTTTAAAATTTTAAACCTCTTAGGAATAACAGGAACAGAAGATCCACCAGGAATTATACCTAATAAATTATCCCATCCACCAATAACCCCGCCAGCATGTCTTTCAATTAAATCGCGCAAAGGAATAGACATTTCTTCTTCGACTGTTGTCGGTTCATTTACATGACCAGAAATACAAAAAAGCTTAAAGTACAAATTTAAAAAATAATTTTTAAATTAAAATACTTTAGTTCCTCGATTCCTTTCTCTGCCAAAACTTGCAAACCAATTACCGCCACGACGACAAATTGTTGGAGCAACAGCAATAGTTTCAACATAAAAAATAAATTTTATTTTTTAAAACTTTTAAAAATAAAAGTACATTGGTAACGGTTGTAGGACAACCTAAAAATTAAAAACAAAATAAAAAAAATAGAAAATTCATTACCAAAAACTCCAATATCTGCAGGAAATGGAGGTTTAAGTCTAGGCTTTCCCTGCTTTCCTTCCAAGGATTCAATTAAAGCCTAAAATAAAAACCATTAGAAGACCTCCAAAAATAAATTTACCGTCTCTTCACCACAAATATAGGCTCCAGCTCCTCTATAAACCTGTAAAAAAATAAATTTTTAAGATTCATTACTAAAAGGATTTATAAATTAATAATGTCAAATATATACACCTATGACACTTTTAATTTGAAAAAAACGATGTAGTGGTAAACTTATGAGAGAACCTATATCAGAAAACTACATTTCAAAATTATATTTTCAATAATTTATAAAAACAAACAAAAATATCAAAGTTGTAACCAGTGCCAAAACAGTCCTTTCCAATAAAACCAGCCTAAAATTTAATATTAAAAACACTTTAGTCTTTACATAAATAACCTTATAAGCCTCATGTATAGCTTCCTGTAAAACACATGCTTCATTGTAAAATTCTCCTCTAATATAAATATAAGCAGCTCGAGCACCCATCGCAACTCCAGCTATCAAACAGCCTTCAATCAGTTTGTGTGGATCATGGCGCTAAATATTTTTAAATAAAGATAGTTCCTTACAATTTCTACGCACCATTATTTCCCTGAAAAATATGAAAAATAATTATAATTCTTAACAAATATAGTTAACAATGAAAGTTATTTTATTAGGAAAGAAATAAGTAGGAGAGATAAAGTGCAGGCGGTTCGTAATGTCTGCTCAAATAACCGAATGAGTTAGCTAACATATACAGAAAAAAGTTCAGGTGACCTAATAAAGATGCTAAATCATTGACGTCACTTTTGTGTTCCGAATGCATTTTATCTTTCCCATTAAAAAGGTCAACAGCCTTCTTTCCCATTAAAAGTCTGCTACTTTAATAAAAATTATTCAAAATATCCTTGCCTGTCCTTGCACGTCCCCGGCTCGCCTTCATCCGCATTCACTACCAAATATTTTGGCCGCCCATCAAAAGGTTTAAGCATAAATCCCCATTTCATTCCACTTGGAAATCCAGCCCCACCACGACCACGAAGGCCAGATGTGGTGACTTCACCAATAATCCATTTCGGACCCTTGAGAATTATCTCCTTCGTTTTGTACCAGTCACCCTAAAATTTAAAAAGATTAAATTAAACCTTTTGTTTACCCGACTCATCGCAGCTTTCAAACGATAATCATGCCTAAAATAAGTAATTTTATCTGTATCAATTCACATCAAACATACTTTCCATAGAGATTTGTAAAGATTCTATCTTCATCTTTCAATCCGCCATATGAGGTTTTTGCTGGGGGAGCCGCAGAAAAGTAACGACAAAATTTTAAAGCAAAATCATGACCTGTAATTAAATTAATTTGTCTGAAACCCCAAACGTTGATCATACTTATGAAAGCATTTTTTGATTTCAAACAAATTGAAAGAACCATATTGAACTCTAAATTATTCGAATATCCAAGGTTCAGAAAAAATTAAGAAATTTAAGATTTGGTTTTAATGCCGAATGTTCAATTAAAACTAAAAACAAATTAAAAGTTTTCACTTTATACACTTTAAAGTATGTGAATACAATTGAATTTAAAATAAGGATTCATTACAAAGCAATGATAATTTTAAGCAATTCTAACAAACCATCGTTTATAGCTTTATAATAAAACTTTATATATTTAGAAAATAAATTTATATCGCACGATGGAGGAATTATTTATTGGAGAGAAAGTCACGCCGAAAAGACAAAAATATATCCAATATAATTCGCTAATTTTACAAATTTTCCCTTATTCAGTCCTCAAGTAAGTAAATTATGTGAGATAGAAGCTATAGACATGTTGAAGAGCGATATCTAAAATAAGAATTAAAAAAAATTAAAAAAAAGAAATAAACCGAATCTTGACACAAATGTCTCGTAAGTTTCATATGGCGGAATCTGGAAATAAGTTAAAATTAAAAATTTTGAAAATAACTCACTTTCAAGTAATTATAGCAAGTCATTGCAGATGGCAGTTCTTCCTCATTTTTCACACATGTAGCTGTCTTTTTAACAACAGTAAGTGGAGGGTTTAAACCACGAAATCCGCCAATAGGCAACCTTGGAGAGCCAGTGACAAATTGCAAGAAACGCCGGCGCTAAATTTCATTTTAGTATTTACAGTTACCAAAGAGAGATTGAGAAAGCGGAGAGCTATTTCTATTTTTATAATGAATTTACCTTATCATGTTTATACGAACACAACATCGTAATTAGCCACTTAATTTGTGCCGAATCATAATTGTAGCCATGGTCCTGAATTAGCATAGAAATAAACAAGTCAGAATATTTAATTTTAAAATTAACCGGGCGTAAAGCATGTTGGAGTGCCGATTTAGTCCAAATTCTCTCATCATTCTCTGCACTTCCACCTAGAAAAGATTATATAACTAATCATGATTGCAAAATAATTCTCACAAAATAGCAACTCCATCTCATCCGAAGAGAATATGCGCAACGAATCTTTATTGATAACTAAGCGAAACCCTCGACGAACAGCCTCCATTTCAGAACGAACACCCTCAATAAGTCGCCAGTAACAAACAAGCTAAATATTTTTCATTATTCAAACTCTTTAACAAAAACCTCTAAAAATTGTTTGCAATTGTCTTTTGAAACCGCCAAATTCTTTCCCCCTTTGCACAATTCCATAGATGGTTCGCCAGGATAGATAAAATACTGACATAAGCATAATTAAAGTATAAACATTAAAAAAACGAACTGACCACATCTAAGCTCTCAAAATCTTTCTCTTCCTCTGTCTGCAATATATCACGTAACGAGCGGAAGATTGTCGGCTCAAGTTTTTCAAAGTCTTCGGTCCCGAGAGATTCTTCCTCACCAATTAACCACTTGAAAAAGGCTGGAGAGAGTGGTAAATCCAACTAAAAAACATTTCACCACTTATCTTAAAAATTAATATTTATAAAATTACCATTCGACTGTCAATAAGAGCTTGACCAAGAAGACGACCAATAAACTCAAAGCGTTTCAAACGCAGTTCATTCTGCTTTGAGCTTAATGGGCGCGTTAACATTTTTGGATATAGACCATTGGCGGCAAAAATATAATCGTCATCACCGGAACCTAAAATCGGTAATTTATTCAACTGGATTAATTTACCATCTTTCTCTTCTTCAGGGCAAGTGCGCACTGTACCATCCCAGAGGCCAAGTGAACTCTTTTGCAGCGCACGGCTTAAAGTTGAATAGAATTCAAGTGTAGGACCAAATCCAGTTCCGACTTCTAAATATTACATTAGTTAGAAATGTCCAACAAATTAAAAAATAACCTCCTTCAAATCCAACTTCGAGCATTGCCTTACTAGTGCTCATTTGTGTAAGAATTTGCTGCGCATCCTAAAAATATATTTGATCACATGTTAAAATAAAGAATTATAACCTTAAGTACATCATTCCGTTTAATAGAAACTTTGCGGCGCTCTAAACGAGGAATCAATCGTGAATTTGTATCATGTGAAGCACCCTCGTGACCATCATCGTTATTAACTTCACTGACAAGATGCCTGAAAGTTTTAATTTTATAACTGATAATAATAAAGTTAAAATAATTTCTAACATCAATGCTCGGTCACGTCCAAAGGAAGTACAAAATAAGAAAGAACGACGGGTGGAGAAAGAGAAGATGAAAGGACTAAAAAAGAATTAAATAAACAATTCCATATAAAAATACAAATTATTCATTAAGTCAATTGTCCATTTTGGCACTTGTTGAGTGGCAACGGTAAGAAAGTCTGAAAGTTGTCGACTAACTTTAGAGTTAAGCTTGGAGTTGAAAAAAGAACTGAAAAATAAAATAGTAAATCAATGAATAAAATAAATACCGAGCCAAAATCAAAGGAGTATGAGAAATTGGAAGATTTCGTTTTCCATTAGAATGAGTCTCAAATAGCTCCCACCAGAAGGAGTTTAACCCATAAAGAATTTTCATCAAAATAAGGCAGGATGTGGACGGATCATTAAGCTTTGGTTGAAGATCAGTACGAAGATAGAGATCCAAAGGCGATTCACGAGGAGGTCGGTTACAATCTATGAATTGGCAAATTTTCAAAAATTACGTAAACTTTTGTTAGATAAAAATTAGTATTTATTCTCATATGCAGATAAAAGAAAATCACTTTTGTAAACTTGCGACTCCTTGAGGTTTGGAGGTGCGGAACTTGAGGATGCAGGCTTTTCTGTCTTTTTAATGGAACCAACAGCACGTGGGACCAACTTATTTCGAGTACGCGTAGAAGCACCTGCCGCCTCTTCAACAGTTTTCGACTGAGAAGGCTCGCTAGATTGATTCCCTGTAATTTTTGAAGTAGTACCGCCAGCTGTAGCCTCACCAACATTACTTTCATTTAGAATGCTAAAAGAAAATGTTTGCAAGCAGTTAGTCACTGATATTAACCTGTTATAGTAAATTGTATGAGTTGTAAGCCAAATACTTGAAGGAATTGTTTCGACGGTGTCATCATCACGAGGAAGTGTATATTGACGAATTGCCTAAAGTATATCGATACGATTTGCATTTTAAAAAATAACCTGAAGTATAGAGATGTCATTTGGAAGCAAATTTTCACCAATAAAAAGTTCAAGTCGACCTTCATTTGAGAGAGCAGATGAAAAACTCATATCCTAGAGTAATATTTTTGAGAAGTTACCAGAAAATCGATACCTGATCCTCCTCGCTAATTTCAGAATCGTCATCACCATCATCACTTTGTGGTTGCTGCCCACTCTGTTGTGCATTAATATTGCCAATACCACGCTCAAGCAAATATCTAATTATAATTATTCAAATCTAAAAAAATTTGTAACCTTTCAATGGAAGAGATTGATGTAAATGGGTCAACTTTAATAGACCCTCTCCCATGACGCCATTCACGCAAATTTTTGCACTTAGGCTAAATAAAAAATAAAGTAAAGGCTAACTATTTTTTGATTAAATATAAATTCTTCCCTGATTGAACTCACGTGACGACGAAGATTTATACGGATTTGATGCATCTGAAAAAATCGTAAAGCCTGTGCTCCACGAAGTGTTGTCGAAAACAGTGAACCACCAGCACCACCACCCAACAAGGCAGACTGATATTGTGCCAGTGACGAAGAGCCACTACCATTAGTAAAAATTCCAGAAAGATTGGTGACACGAACTTAAAAATTGAATATTTAATAAATGATATGTACCAGTCAACTCCACCTTGGAATTGCTCCATAGTGCCAATTGTATTTGTAAGTTTCGTAACCAATAACTCAAACGGGTATCGGCGTTTATTATCAGCACCAATTGAGTCAGCATGCAAAGAATCTTCCTGAAATATCACAATTTGAATCGAAAACAATAAGATAGATCATACGTTCAATCCCATGAAAACCGAAGCAAAATGCTTTAAACGAATACCGCCTAAAAAGATCAGCAATAAAAATTAATTTATACAAAGACTAACGTAGTTGCGACGTGCCTGAGACATTACATAAATAACTGATTAACGCATCAGGAATGCCACTTTGATTAAATTGAAATGAGGTAATATCTTGTTCGAGAAGTAAATTCTTTAAATCCATTAAAGGCTCAGCACCATAATCCTTATTACTGCGTAGCTTATTGGCTAAAGCATTGAGTTTGTCAAATAACTTTCGAGCACGGTGAGGTTCCTTGATGCTGAATTTACGAGCAGCATAATCAGTTGCAAATTTATCGGCAATTTGTTTAGCTTCTTTACATACCAGGTCTTGCTAAAAAAATAAAGATTTATGGAGTTAAAATAAAAGAAAACCTGTTGCTGTAAACTTTGTTGATGACTATGATTGTTATCCCGATCTTGATGCATTGAAATAGGTGGAATTATTACGCGAACACCAGTATCGCCGCCGCTGTGGGAATTTACCAATCCTTCCAATAAATGTTCTGCCATCGAACTACGAGAGTAATTCGGCTTTCTATCAATAGTTGGAGCCTCAATAGGTAACATAAGACGTCGAGTTTCATGAAATACGCCTATAAATAATTTTTACTAAAATTGAGATTAAATAAAACCTTCAGCCTCAAACAATGGAATATACAATTGTGGAAGTTTATCAAGCAAGACTCTCGAAAGTTGAAGACTAGAAAGCAGTGTCCCAAGATTTCGATTAGAACTCAACATTTGAGTAATAAAAACAGCTAACGGGATATCGCCTAAATTTTTTAAAAATAATTTTAAATTTTAACAAAAAATACGTAGAATTGGCTCCAAAGTGTCAACTTTATCAACCATTTTAACAATAGAACTCATCACATTTAGAGATTCATTACGTAATTGAGAACAAGTTGAGTTGCTTCCAATGTCGACTAGAAGTGGTATAAGATGTAATAAAGAAACAACTTCTTCTCCACCACGAGGCAAATTTTCGACTAGTTGACTAAATAATTTTAAATTTAAATAAATTACAAATTAAAAAACCCAATTAATGTAATAATCTCCTTAATTTGAACTGAAGGACGCGAATTAATACCATTATTAATTCGCTCTCCCAAATCACCGGATGATGCACTGGGAGTTGAAGGGCTTTCAGTCCGATCAGGTCCAATCAACGCTCTAATTGTGTTGCCAAAATCCATTCGAACAAGAGCTAATGCAGCATCAGAACATCTAAAAATATCAGAAAAACTTAATTTAGATTAATCAAACATACTGCGAAACAATATAACGAATTGATTTGATAAGAGACAAATAAATGCCAGGAGTTATATTAGATGGTTGTATAGCCAACATCTTTTGAACATTTTGAAGAAATTCATAGCTAGTACCAGTGATTTGTCGAAGACGATCAGCATTTTGGCGCATATTTTCAATAATTCTGTTGAAAAATGTACAGATCGATTCAACACAACGCTTGTCCTAAAATTTGGAAAAATTGTTACAAAGTCAAAATAAAAACATACATCCACATAGACTAATCTCTGAGTCAAATCAGGCAAACAATCCTTGACAAGGTGAAATTCATTTTGAGAAACATTTAATGCACAATTTGCACTAAAAGGAATAAAATATGATTAAAATATGAGAAATAAGACCATATCTGGTAACAAAGACGTTGTGAAGGCAAAGAAAAGAAGTCGACATGAGAAATTGCTGATGCAATGCCTCCCTATGCATAAATTGAAAATAATGAAGAACAATAATAGTCCCCGATTATAGTTAAATTCACCTGCAGAAGAATTTGTTTGCCATTACGACGCGACATAACTTCAAGTGCAATTAAAGACTGCTCGGCCACATCAATGTATTCGATACGCTTAAGTTTTGCCAAAAGCAAAGGAATTGTCTCAACGATTGCCGGAAGAGCTCGGGGAAGCTGGGAAAAGTAATGAATAAAAAACAGAAATTTAGGTATAAGAAAGATACCGCTTCCTGCATATTTGTGATACAGCGAGCAGCAGTAAGCATCTGAAAATGCAAGGATTATTTAGAAAAAAATATTTTTAACCAATTCAAAATTATCATCCTTTTGGAGGAGTCCACACAGAGCTTGGACAATCTCAACAATTGGCATATTTGGAAGGCTCTCTTCATTTCCTAGCAATAGCATCTCTGCTAACTCAGATGCCGCTTCTGATTGACGAATTTCATTCGATGATTTGAGACCCTCTACGATCGAAAGCATGGCCGGAGCTTGAATGGAAGAATTTAAATTATTAATTCAAAAAAAGCAGCATCATGCGACAAGTAATCATAGTAAAAAATTTTACTTGTCGCATGGTGGTGACGCGAATAGCTGTAAGAGGCGTCAACAATTGAATCAAGATATCCTGCACGTGCAGCAGCGCTACCAGTACCTGTTGTAGAATTTGTAGTTGAGTTTAATAGATGCTGCATACGAGGCACGATGGTGCTAAGAAATCCAGCGGCACGTTGAGACCTATAAAATTAATTATATTAAACGCATAAAGAAGAATAGACAAAGCAGGTAAACCAAAATTTAAAAATTTTATCGCGCAATTATAAGAAAAGGCACTTAGTATTTGAGTGTACCTAATTTGATAAGCTATTTACAAATGTTTATGGTTCACCTGCAGAAAAGTTAACCAAAAATGAATTTTTTAAATAATTATGAACAGAAAAGATAAAGATAGTAAAGAAACGCAAGCAAAGAAAAAAGTTTGGCTGAATTGCTTTCATAATTTTAATTCTGTTTAGTTCAAATGCTTTGCTCAAAGAGACACACTTTGCTCCAAGCATTGCGGCTGCAACCGCCCTGCTTTGATTCTGTGCATGGCTGGGCTGTGAACCAATAGAAATATCATCAAGTGATGATCTATTTATGCCGATAAGTGATGGGGATATTGTAGTCACTAATGGTGATGTTCCAACAGGTTGTTCAACTTCCATTGGACAGCCATTACCGCTGCTATCAACACTGTTGTTATTAATGGATGAAGTAAACCCTATATGCTGCATATCGCAACTTGTAGTTGTTGAAGCTGAAGAATCGACTGTGACTACAAAAAGTTTAAAAAATTGTTTGAAAAGAAAAGCACAATATACGAATGCAAAGTGAAAATTAAATAACTTATACTTATTCAGTAAACTAGTCTATTATGGAATATAACTTCCGAGCTCAGTTCTACAATAATAATAGGCACTTAAAAAGATTAATAGGCACTTAAAAAAGAGAGCACTCCAAGCTTCATTAGTAAGGTAAAAGTCAGCTCAAAAAATTAAAATAATTTGCGAACCCGCATCAGCTGAATCAGTTCGAACCGTGGAAGTCGCCACCCCTCCAACCACAGCCGCAGCAGCTGCCAATTGTGAAGCAAATGAAACAGCAAAATCACTAGCAGCAATTGCAGTGCTGGCAATAATACTTTGCTGATGTACAGCAGCTGCCACTGTGGATGGTAATGAACTGGTCATTAGTGGTGAAAAGTTATAACTATTTAAATTGTTGTTGGAACTGCTACTAGGTAATCCCAAATTCGAAGTATTGACAATTTGTGGTATTTTCTGAAGTTAGAAAATTAAAAAGGAATAGTGTCAGTTCAAAAAAAAATAGAAGAAAAAAGGATACAATCAAGAGAGTCCTCATTTCAATGAGGCAAGGCTGATCAAAACCTCGTTTCCCGTTTCGTTTCGAAAGGAAACAGAAAATTTTACTTCTTTTGAAGCAGAAAAACAAAATTTTCGGATGAAACAAAATACAAATCCAACGACATGAATTTTTGTGCTTTTTATTATTTCGATCAGCCCTGATACATTGTTAAATTCAAATCCAATAGATGAGCAAGTTATAAAACAATATAAGAACTCGACATTGTGATAGAATTACTATATAATTCCTTACATTTTCAAACAATGCAGAAGACGTCAAGGCATTTGAAGTGTTCGTTAAAAAAGATGAAGGAAGAATTGTTGAGGTTGTTATCTGTTCCTGTTGGTGCAACAAAGAGGCAAAACGAGGTGACCGATTTTCAAAAACTGCGGCTGCAGCGACAAAGGCTTCGGATGATACAGGATTGTGAACAGCAGCAGCGGCCGCAGCCACAAGATCGCTAAAGCAACGCAAATATTTTTTAAGAATGCGCGCAAAGTATTAAGCGCGCAGGTTAAATATTGAAAAGAAAATCAAAAAATTTAACCCACCCCGATTGAACCGATTTTGAAGTTGTTGAAGCTTCGTTAGTTTTCGTCTTCTCAGTCGCGGAATGACTAAAATGAACCATGAATAAATTCAAATATAGTATGAATACAAACCTTCCAGTTGTGTTCGACGAAGAGGCTGCATTCTGCGAAGCAGCTAGATCAGATTTTCCAACCTTCGAAGTGTTTGAAGAAGAACTTCCTTCATTGGCAATTGCTTTCTGCTAAATTATTAAAAAAATTTGAATAAACCTCCCATATGTGGGAGACCTTATGTGGGAGTTAAAACAAATGGTTATAACTTTGTTAAATCAGATTTTTGGTCAATTTTTCCAATGGGTCTTTTGAATTTTAAAGATAGCCCAACAAAAAAAGCTGATTTTCGTGTCAGACCTACATTCTGTAGTTCTCGCGCTCGAACCCGAGGAAAAATTTGCTTGAGGATATATGGAGGGCTTATACGGATATATGGCTTCTCATGATTGTTAAAATAAATACTCAAAAAATACCAAAGCTTTTGATTTAGAACGAGTAAGACGCTCCTCAGAAATGGCAGCCCTCTCAGGGAATGGTTGAATAAGAGCAGAGAGTTCACGAGCTGGACGTCTCGACCCTGTACTTGTACCAGCTGCGCCTTCATCAGAAGCAACCACTTGTTTATTACTGGTCTTTGAAACAACTTCCTGTCCTTTTTCATTCTAAAAAAAGGGAGAAAGCTAATTTATATAGAATAAAGTAGGCAAATACATTTGATGATACAGCAGTAGTCGAAACTTTTCGCAATTTACTTGAAGTCGCCAAAGAAGGATCACGAACTCCACCAGCCGCCGAACCAGGACTGTTCACTAAATGTAAGGGGTCAACTTTTTAAACCGGCATTCTATAGCCAACAACTAGCGTAGCACAATTTTTTTGTTTTCAAGTAGAGGATTATTCCTAACATTTAGCTAGGAATTAGCACAAATACAAAATTTATGCAGCAAACCCAGGGTGTTATATAAAGAGGTGGACACAAATGTAAATTTAATTAAATGTTCAAACCTATTGTTGCTTGATTATTTGGTGATTGCCTCTTACGATGTTGAGGACCAGAACCTGCACCAACGCCAGACTTTTCACCATTAGGATTACCAGTCCTACTATGACTTGACATACGAATATTATAAATATTTTACCTAAAATATAAAAATGTTTTAAACAAATTCCCCCATGTACACATTCATCAATTTCAAAATATTCTTCCTAACAGACTTCTAAACAACATTAACCAAACCCCCCAAAGAATGCAATCTTAACAGATTTAACTCATAAATTCAATTATAAATACGATTAAATAATTTTTATCCAAAATCCTCTTCGATTAAAAATTCGCGTTTCAGGCCACATGTACTTACTGTGGTAATACGTTTTCAATCAATCAAGAACTTTTGAAAGGAAACTCGAGAGTAGTTTGAATAGGACTTGAAATAAAAAAAAGGAAAATGCGGTCGATAAAAAAGAAAATGTGACAGAACTTTAAAATGAAGAAGACAGACAGAGAGAAATAAAAAGAAGAATAGATAGAGAAATAAATTTTTTATATCGTATTTGGCGTAAATTTGAATGAAGGCTGTTTGATCTCATACTGTAGAATTCCCCAAATTTTATTTGATACAAAGCTATTATTAAGGCTGTCAATAAATGTTATGGACAAAAACTTTTGAAAATATTGGAAGTGAGGGACCTTCAGTTAACCGAAACCGAAAACACCCCTGATATACAAGGCCGACTCGATCGTGAGGACTCATTTGTCAGTTAACTGCTCCGATTTAGAAGGCCAATAAAGAAGAACTCATCCCTTTTCTGCGCCTCAGGCGAAAATTTTTCAATTTCAGAACAAACCCAGTCCACAGAACACGATAAATTTTTATATTTTATTTGAAAAAATTCATCGACGGGCCGAAACGTGTTGCGCCGAACTGTGGTCTCTCTTGCTTTATCATTTATTGACGTTTACCTAATTTTTATTTCACAATACATATAGCCTTAACAAAATTAACCAATTTTTATATTTAATTTATAAAATATTAAAATGCAATTTCAAGATTTGCCTCCAGAAATTTTGGTTTAATTTTTAAAAAATAAATTGAGAATATTTATTTTTCCAGAAATATATTTTTGATTTTCTGACTTTTAATGAAAAAATTAAAATTGAACGTGTTTGTAAAGATTGGAAAGATTTGTGTTTGAATTTTGCTTGGTTGGATTGTAAAGATTTAATATTTGTTTACGAAGATTTACTTTTATACAAAAATTTTAAAAATACAAAAGAATTAATTAATAAATCAGTTGAAGGATTAAGTTTGAAAAAAAGTAAATATAAATTAGTTGTTTTTACACCACAAAAATATTTGGTGGATGAGCACAGAAAGTTCCTTTGTAATAATTTACTTGACGAAAAACGGTCTTCAAGAACTGTTTGTTTTTTTAATTATAATTAATTAGATTCGAATAATAATTAGATATCGGCACAGGATTTTTCAGGATCCTTTCCAAAATCCTGCCTTTTTTTAGGATTTCATGATTAATCCTGCAGGATCCTTCCTGTTCGAAATTTTAAAACCCAATCCTGATTCAGGATCCTGCAAATGCAAATTACCGATCTCTAATAATAATGATGGTCGAGACTCTCGGTCTCGGTTCCCGAGTCGGGAATTTTCCCGGGTTTTTTGAACTCCCGACCATAACTAGTTAATAATTATTTTAAATTAAAATTTTTAAATCAAAAAGTGTACAAAGTTTTAACTTTTAGAGGTTGGGCGTTGATATCTATCCACATACATAACTATGCATAGATTTTAATTCGGATACCTAATAATAAGAATACTTCCCTTAAATTAAAATAATTCCAAAATAATTCCATAAAATAATAAATTCCATTCCTTTCATTAAAATATTTTTTACTTCTTTTAGTTAGGAGTATTCAGTGCTTTAATTCGTCGGTCTGCTCCATATTTAGAATTACTTTGTATTGAAAGAGGAATTAAAGTTTCAACACGTTTAGGCCGTTATTTCCATTATTTGACGCCTTTTCTTCAACATTTTTCTATGGAGGAACCGATTGATGTTTGGCATTTAAATCAAATTGAGGAGTATTTAGCTCCTAATCTTTTATCGTTGGGTTTAGTTCTTAATAGAAAAGTAAATTTTCTAAAAATTCTTTTACTTTAAAATATTTATTAGAAGACTAAAAATTAGGAAGTTACGTGTTTAATTACACCCCCATTTATTCGCATGCCAACAATCCCCCAATATAACTGAGTACTAACCCGAGCAACCGTTGACTCCCCCCGAAACTCGTGCCTCAAACCTTATGTGAAGCGCAGAATTCTGCACAAGCGTCTCGCCAACTCCCTTATGTTTGGTTGACCATTTTATGACTTTCGATCTTGCGATAATTAATGGATAATTAAATAATTAAAATAAATAATTATAATTAAATAATTAAAATAATTAAATAATAAGTGGATAATTAAACTGGATAAATTCTAAAAATTAAAGTCGTTAAGAAAAACAAATTAAAATTCAAAAAATTTTAATTTTCTTTTAAAAAACAGAAAAAAACTCTCGATGCATTTTTGTCGCTAATTTTAAAATGTCAAAAACTTGAATGTCTCCGAATTAATCGTTTTGAGGAAATTTTTGAGAGATCTTTAGAAATTAATCAAAAACAGTTTTTACCCCCAACATTACAACAATTATTTATTTTTGATTATTCAGTCAAAACTTTGAATGAAATTTCTAAAATTTGCCCAAAGCTTTGGTTTTTATTGTTTTATAATCAATATGATTATACTGACGAATTAACTGACACAAAAATTCTTAGGTAAAAAGTTTTTTTTGAAAATTAAATTATTTAATAAAATCTAAAAAATACATATAAAATAAAAGAAAAATTTAAGATTTTTAATAAAAACAATTATTTTTAAAAAATTTTATAGGAGAGGGGATTTTATTTTTAAAAGACAATTTTATTTTTTTAATTCTACTTTTTCATACTGCATTTGCGTAATACATATTAGTGCTTCGCCGGAACCGCAAATTTGGCCGGAACCGGGACTGTTTAAAAAATTTGTAATAAAAATTTTTACTGCAGAAAAGACCCAAAAGTAGAAATGACAGATTCCGATCAGGGAATCTGGCTAACAAGCCAGATTTCTTGTTTTTTTTTGAGATTTTAGAAAGCCGTAGGCCAAAAAATTCACTTTTTTTCGGATCCGCAGGCGAATATTTTGAGAATTTTAGAGGCTGTAGGCTACTTTCTTCCATTTAGAAAATGAGAAATCAAATCCTTAGGGGTGCTTAAAAATTCCGGTTTAACCGGAACTGAAGGCCGGAACTGCGGCAACTTCCGGCGAAGCTCTAATACATATACTATACATACTTATCTATTTTAATTTAAGTTTGCTTCTTAGTCCATGTTCACCTTTCTTTTACACAATAAACAAAAAATATTTAGATTTACATCCAAATTTATATTTTCTACGTGCATTATCAGTTTACGATTATTCTCCACTTAATAATGTATATTTAAATTAAATTTAAAAAAATATAAAAATTATTTTCAAGTCAGATTTATTAAAAATAGCCTCTTCTTGTCCAAATTTGGAACATTTAGATTTTTGTTGGGAAAATTATGTTCGTGATTTAGAGGGCCCAGTAGATGCTCGACAATTAGAAGCTCTTTATTCATTCAAAAAACTTTCTTCTCTTTCAATAAAAATTTTTATTATTTTGAGAGGGTGTGTAAATGAATCAATGCCTTTTCACAGCGTTTTAGAAATTTTTTTTTGAATTAAAATTTAATTTTTTAAAGTTATTTTGTGATAATGGAGATGCTAGATTTGATGATTTTATTTTTGAATTTTTAATTAAATTAAATTCAATTACTCCTTTAAGGGTAAGAAAAATAATGTGAATTTTGTTTTTAATTAAATTGAGCAAATACTTAAGTTAAAAACAGTTTATAGGGGGTTAACCTAGAAGACTCACAACTAGGGTTGCCAGCTCGCTCGAACCGAAACTCGAAAGATCGAGCGAGCCGAGGTTTTTAGCTCGAAAACGAACCGAATCGAAAAAAACCAAACTCGAAAAAAATGCACCGAACGTCGGCTCGAACCGAAAACGGCAACCCTATTTACAACTTTTGAACGCGAATACCAAAAGGGGATTTGTTCTTTGTCTTTACTAGAGTTTCACCGGAAGTTCCGGTTCCGGTTCCGGAAAGTTCCGGTGTTTTTTTGGTTCCGGGAACCGGAACTTAAATTGGATCCGGTTCCGGTCAAAATTTCGGTTTCGGTGAAACACTAGTCTTTACTTACCCAAAGTTAGCTGTTCTTAGAAATCAACAGATAACCGATATCCGAACGAATATTTTTGATTATCCCAGACTTTTTCGGTTCCAGATATCCAAAATTGTCAACCTTAAAATAAAAGTTTTAGGTATTTTCAAAATTATTGAGAGGGTTTTTAGTTAAATAAAATAAACCCGCAATTATCCGCAATTTTCTTTCAATTTTTAGAATTTGGAATTACATAATCCATGCTCATTTTGTTTACATAGTGAATATGCATTGAAACTTTTGAGGAATTTAAATGTAAAAAAAATTTATTTTTAAAAATAATTTTATTTATTTTAAAGGCTTTAGAGACATTTACTTGTACTTTAAGTAGTTATTTTGACAGGGATGAATTTGTTGGAGAAAATGAATTTTTTCAAAAACTTGATAAAATATTAAAAGAAAATGAAAATAAATTAAAAGCTTCTTTCCGATTTTTGGTTTTTTTGGCTTTTAAAGTTAAAAAAAAAATTTTTTTTAAAGTATCGATATTATGGAAGAGGACCTGATACTATTTTTAAATGGAGAAAAGGATATTTATTTGAAGTTATTAAAGTTCCTAAACCCGACCCTTTTAGAGATTTTATTTTTGGAAATTCTGTTGTTTTGAAGGAAATAATGAATGAAATTTTTGGAAAGAGAAAAACGTTTGTAAAAATTATTGAAATTATTAAAAAAAAGATTTTTAATTTTAGTCAAATTCTTTTAAGAAATATGGGGAATGAAGTTAAAGAAAGATATAATTTAGAATCTATGTACTAAATAATTTTTTAAAATTATTTTTATGTGATTTTTAATTTTCTAATTTAATTTTTAATAAATACTTTTTACAATATTTTTAATAATTCCCTTACATCCCTTAATTAAAGCTCGGCTCAATTAGATTCCATATATCCAAAACAAAATCACCCAAGGTAGAAGCCCTCTCAGAACGAGTTATGGGTTAAATTGGGGAAATTTAATCTTGAAAAATTCTGGAATTGCAACTTGACAGTTATGAATTTTTGTTTTTTTTTCTATGAAGAACATTTGATTAAAAAATAATTTTTGCCAAAAATTTATTTTGTAAAAATCCTGAAATTTAAATTAAAAAATTTCACAGTTTCTTCACTTTATTTATCCATGAATTCTTTAAATATTTTTATTTCTAAAAAATTCTTTTCTAGAAATAATTTACTCATCATATCATTTAAATATCACAATTAAAAGTAATTAATTCAAATATTTAATATTAAAAAAATTTTTTTTTTCATGTGCCATATGAGTAAACAAATAATTTTATTATTAAAAAATCTTTAATAAAAGAAAAGATGTGTGCCTCTAGCAATTTACATCAAACTCCTCCGGGTACCTCCTCTGAGCGGAAACTTCAATTAATTTATAAAAAATTATTATGATACATTTTTAAATAAAGGATCAATAATTTTTGTCCATTTAATATAAAATTTATTTTAAACAATTATCAGAATTCCATTAAATTATAATATAGTTGAAGCCCTATAAAGCGAATCCGTCTCCTCAAATGTCAATACCCTTTTTATCTCACTTAAAATTCTTTGATCGCAGTCAGACGTGGGCGAAACGTTTCGTTTCGTTTCGTTGTTTCGTATGTTTCGTATGATTTTTACTGTTTCGTCTCGTTTCGTTACGAAACACTTTTAAATTTGTTTCGTTTCGTTTCGTTACGAAACACCTGTGATTTTTCAACGAAACGAAACAATTTTTTAAGCCTAAACTAAGGCCAAAATCTATAAAATTTACCATCTTTTATTGAAAATTTAAAAAATTTTCGCCTGCGGCGCTGAAAAAAAAAGAATTTCGGCTTCTTGGCTTTCCCAAATTGTCAAAATTTTCGCCTGCGGCGCTGAAAAAGGAAGATAGCAATTACTTATATACTACACTGGAACCGGAACTTCCGGCGAAGCACTAGCTTATATCGCCTTCCTCTCGAAATGGAGATATGGAGACAATTTGGGTAGGCAATGGAGCAAGATGGTGAATTTTTTGGCCTACGGCCTTTCAAAATTTTAAAATTTTTCGTCTGCGGCGCTTAAAATAAAATTTTACTTGAAAAATATTCAATTTTATTTAAAAAAAAGCGTCGCCAAAAATTTGGCTTCGAAAATGATTGACCCCCCCCCCTTCCCCGAAAATTTTCCTTGCTACGGGCCTGGCTTATGGGACACAATTGTTGTAAATAAACCAATAACTAAATCATTTATAAGTCATAGTCGACTAATAACGTATTTGAGGTCGAATAATTTCGAAATAAATGCAGTTTTGAAAATTTTTTGAATATTAAAATGTTTCGTTTTGTTTCGTTTCGTTTCGTAAGATTTTGGTTGTTTCGTTTCGTTTCGTTAACGAAACGATTTTTAAAAAATTTTGTTTCGTTTCGTTTCGTCAGAAAAAAATTTTGAGTTTCGCCCAGGTCTGATCGCAGTTCAAATTGTTCTACCGACACTTTCTCTAATATTTCAGGCGGCAGACGTTCCTTATAAGCATAAGTGGCATTCCTTCATATGTTTTACATCTATAAGGATTGAAATTTTTGAAATCATGTAGAATGTCCAGTATTTGAGATATAACAAGTAATGACTCAAACAAAAGTAATGACTCAAAGATAAGGCTGATTATACCCCACTTGATGATATGTTGTTTGAAGATAGGAGGAAGAAATTAAAACACACATATCACCCCTATACATATATCACCCTCTCTAAAATTTTAGTCACAAGAGTGATATTTTAATTTTTTTAAATTTTTTAAATATAAAAATTCCAATGTATAGTTAAAATTTTTTGGGTATTTTTTTACTTAAATAAAATTTAAATTTTTTATTTAAAAAAAGTCCAAAATCTTTCATAAATTTTTACAAATCCTTTGTTTTCCCATAAAGAATTAAAATAATAAATAAATTATTTAAATTAAATTAAATGTTTGTCGTTTTGAAAGAATTTCTTTTTATTTTATTTAAATTTCTTTTAAAAAATTAAATTTTATTAAGAAATAATTTTGAAAAAAATTTTTTAATGAGCCGTCTTAGTAAACGTCGTCCACAATGTGTTGCTTCCGAAGACGAAAGTGCTGCAGCAATTCAACAACAAAAACAGCAACAAATGGATGTTATTCCTTTTAATGCTCAAAGGGAAAGACAAATTGAGCAAGGGATGGATATTTTTTGAAATTTAATATTTTTTTTGAAGAAATTAAGTAAAAAAGATATAAACATAAATATTCCCAAAATATTTACAAAATAATTTAATTCCAATAAAAACCTTATAAATTTTAGATTGACATAATTAATAAAGGAATGTATTTAGTAGAATGTCCAGTATTAACAAACCTATCTCAAAATCATTAATATTATAAAAATATTATTGATGATATCTTTAGAGAGAGAGAAATATTTACAGAATTGTTGTAAAAATTAAGGATAATTTCTAAGGCAATTAATTATTTAAAAAATAAAATATTTTCTTTTTATTTCTATTTCCAAATAATTTCAGGATTACCATTTCGTCGTTCTGGGGCATGTCAATTTAATAATGGAGAACAACATTTACAACAAAATCCTTTTAATAATTGTTATTTTACACCTCCAACAATTCCAAATAATATTAGATATGATAATAATACTCAACAACAACAACAATTATTATTTTCGAATGATTGGATAGTTAATAATAATAATAATTATTTACCTCAAGTATTTAATTAAATATAAATTTATTTAATTTATTTTTAGTCATCTACTAATATCCAATTAAATTCAATAAATTCATCAATTCCTCCTTATTCTTCTTCAATTAATAATAATCAACAAATGATTCTAAATTATTATCACAATAATACACCAATGCAAATAAATCAAGAAATGTCGTTAGAAACATTTACACAAGAACAACAAATTAATTTAATACAAAAAGGTGAAAATAAATTTTTAGAAATTTGAAGGAAATTCCAGTTAAATAGCTGGAAATTTCGGAAATTGAAAGGCGAAAATCGGAATTTCGACCCTACATGAATTATTAATTCTTTCATTAATTTTAAATGAAGGAAAAAATATTTTTACATTTTTCTGTATATTAAACAAAATACTATAAATAAAAAATATTTTATTTTATTAAAGTTTAAAAAATTATTTTAAAGAAGAAAATAATGTTGTAAAAACTGAAGGAGGAGAAATTCAATATGGAATCACTAATTCAATACCCAGTATTTTTCTTCAAAGTCGTTCACCTTTCGAAACATTTTGTACTGTCCCAGGTACCAAAAACTAATTTTTTTAATAAAAATTTATTTTAGGAAGAACAAGTTTATTAAGTAGTACAACTAAACATAAAGTAACTGTTGGGGAAATTCAAAGGCGGATAAACCCTCCAGAATGTCTGAATGCCTCTTTAATTGGGGGAATTCTTCGAAAGTAATTTTTAAAGAAAAATAAATTTAAAAATAAGTTACTTTTAAAGAGCAAAATCTAAAGATGGAGGGAAAGCTTTAAGGGAATCATTGAAACGAATAGGGTTAAGTTTACCTGCTGGAAGAAGAAAATCTACTTGTGTGACTGCTTTTACAGCGTAAATATTTAATTAAATTCCTCTCAAGAAAATCTTACGATAAGGGGGTTTAATACAGACCTGGTCAAGGATACTGATCTTGGTATCCGTATCCGCATATTTACGGCGGATACAGGCGGATATCCGCAGGCATTTTTATATTATCTGTATCCATGGGCAGGTCTGGTTTAATACATATATTAATGGCTATAACTAGTATTAAGAACGGAACCCGACGAGTTTCCCTTTTCGGTCTTGTTGGAGATACCGAGATGAGAAACAGGGAAAGGGAAAATTAAAATGTAACTTGTTGACATTTTTATACGCGTCTTGTTTTTTTCGGCTTCTGCAAAAATATGGTTAGCCAATCCCAAAATCGCATCGGTGATCTCTTTCGTAAGAGGGATTCTGAATTGCTATCTATGCTCAAATAATTATCCTCTCTCAAATAATTACCCTCTCTCTCAATAAATTACCCTTCTCAGTGAGATCGAAACAATAATTACCCAGGGTATTTATTTGAGAATATACGGTAATAACAATGTAAACAAAAACAATCCAATATTTATTATGTACAATATAGACAGACTTAATGCAATACAAAACCCAACATATATTTATGAAAACAATTTAATACATATTTTATCTATTGCATTCAATCTTCTACTACTAATACTTCTTCTTCTTCTTCCATTTGCTCATCTTTAAGTTCACTTTTCTTCATATATTCATAATATTGTTTGATTAAATCCACATCAGGCATTTTATATCCAATCACTTCACTAAGTGTAGAATCGCCAAGCTTAGGAAAAACAAAGATTTTTTAAAGAAAAACAAAGAAAAATGAGTTAAACTCACAAATTCTTTATCTGGATCTCGAGAAGCGCTCAACGCCGTTAATGTTGTAATTGCAGAGAAGAGAGGCCTCCCAGTGCGCATAAGAAAGCCTGATGATGTTTTTTGAGTACTTATTGCAGCTAACGACTGTTTTGTGGTAGTTTTACTTCCTTCTTTTGAAGGGAATGTCCATTCTTTACTAACTCCTTGGGGTGCATCAACACGTTCATAGCCTTTGCTATCGCGGAGTGTAGCACCATGATGCCCAGAATATGATGGTTGCTTTGCATGAAGTGATGGGTGTGTTCTCTGAAATTATAAGTATTCGAGAATCTTTTGAGAATTGAAGAAGAAAACTCGAACCCTTTCTGCCTTTTTCTTCTTCTTTTTACAACAAACAGCAGCTAAGAGAAGTGCAACTCCAAAGATTAAAAGCCATATAGTGACGAGTTCGAAGCGCCAAAGTACTAAAAGAAATGGATAAACGAAATAAAAAATGAAATTAAGTACCTCGTAGTAAGAATTGAAAATGGTTGGGATCAGACCTGGGCGAAACTCAAAATTTTTTTCTGACGAAACGAAACGAAACAAAATTTTTTAAAAATCGTTTCGTTAACGAAACGAAACGAAACAACCAAAATCTTACGAAACGAAACGAAACAAAACGAAACATTTTAATATTCAAAAAATTTTCAAAACTGCATTTATTTCGAAATTATTCGACCTCAAATACGTTATTAGTCGACTATGACTTATAAATGATTTAGTTATTGGTTTATTTACAACAATTGTGTCCCATAAGCCAGGCCCGTAGCAAGGAAAATTTTCGGGGAAGGGGGGGGGGTCAATCATTTTCGAAGCCAAATTTTTGGCGACGCTTTTTTTTAAATAAAATTGAATATTTTTCAAGTAAAATTTTATTTTAAGCGCCGCAGACGAAAAATTTTAAAATTTTGAAAGGCCGTAGGCCAAAAAATTCACCATCTTGCTCCATTGCCTACCCAAATTGTCTCCATATCTCCATTTCGAGAGGAAGGCGATATAAGCTAGTGCTTCGCCGGAAGTTCCGGTTCCAGTGTAGTATATAAGTAATTGCTATCTTCCTTTTTCAGCGCCGCAGGCGAAAATTTTGACAATTTGGGAAAGCCAAGAAGCCGAAATTCTTTTTTTTTCAGCGCCGCAGGCGAAAATTTTTTAAATTTTCAATAAAAGATGGTAAATTTTATAGATTTTGGCCTTAGTTTAGGCTTAAAAAATTGTTTCGTTTCGTTGAAAAATCACAGGTGTTTCGTAACGAAACGAAACGAAACAAATTTAAAAGTGTTTCGTAACGAAACGAGACGAAACAGTAAAAATCATACGAAACATACGAAACAACGAAACGAAACGAAACGTTTCGCCCACGTCTGGTTGGGATAGACCATGACGTGTTAGAGAGATATTAGAAGGGATGTGTAGATAAAGCTGAAAAACTTGGGGCTTAAATACTGTAGTCTATGTACACATGTAGATAAATTTAAAATTCATTAACAAGGCTTTAAGTTATTTCGAATATTTTGGATGTATTTCGCCAAATTTTTTGGAGTGTTGTTGACAACCCTAATTCATACCGCCTGCTATTGTAAATTCTTAAGGCTGTGCTGTAGGCGGTGTGGTGTAATGGATAACACATCAGTCCGGTCTACTGAGAATGCTGGTTCGTTCCCAGCCGCCGAATAACCTTTTGCACTAGCTAAAGGAGAGAAATAGCTATGGCCAAGATGCTTTACTCTATTCATGAGGAGCGCGAACTAAATTTCATTATTTTCAGACTTGTCGAGGAAGAAGCTTTACATTTGGTTAAAAATTAGAAAAAAAATAAAAATAATTATTTTTTCAAGGCCAACGATTTCCGTATAGTTCTACAACGAGAATTCCCAATTAGAGATTCTGCACTTTATTTAAATAATCGTTTTATCCAATTCTCTAATCAAACAAATGATAATGAATTAATTAATAGGCGCAGAACAATGCTTAGTTTTGCTAGGTAGAGGAATTAAAAAATTCTTTTTTTTAAAACACTTTTAAATAATTTTCAGAATGTTTTTAAAAGAAATTACTGAATTAATGAGTGCAGATCGAAGCCCTATTGTAGATAGAAGACCAGAACTTATTTTAGATCCATCCATTCAAAAACGTCTTACTCATTTCTCTTTGGTAAGTCTTAAAATATGATTGCTCGAGCCCTATTTTGGAACTTTTTAGTTTTGAGATTTTTTTGTAAAATTAAACCTCTCTTGGAGGGTTATGGAAGAATTGAAAGAGATTTTAGATTTTCAGACAAATCTATAAAAAATTTGAAACCATTCTATTAAAATTTCCCCCATAATAAAACAAGTATTTGGTAAAAAACAAGAAAATGGTTGACCAGTTCTAAACCGGTCTTGAGCGACCCTACACTTCAAATATTAATTTATTCCCAATTTTTAGATTACACATGGATTTGGTGGAATCGCAATTGTAAAATATTAAAATAATTAATAAATTATTATTTAAAAAAAAGCTAGCCGTCTTGGAAGCATTAAATGGCTGTATTGGCGAATCTCTTAAATCATTGGAAAAAATGCTTCAAAATAATAATATACAAATTCAGAGTCAACCTACAACAGAGACATCAAGTGAAAATAATACAAGAATAAATTTATTATTTAATCACCAAAGCAATCAAAATATTTGAATTTATTTTAGATTTTTAAATAATTTTTAGTATTAGAGACGGGACTTGGAGGGTTAAGGGGGAGAACCGAGAGAGATATCTCGAAAAAAATTTTTTGACGAGAGAGATAGCTTGAAAACTGTCAACCTCAATAACTGAGCTTTTCTTTCGAGTTCTCGTTCCTGTCTCTAATTTTTAGCCTCGAATGAGACAAAAGCATTTTCTTTTGTGAAAATTAAAATTTTGCTAAAATTTATTTCCTTCAAATTTTAATAAAATTAAATCACATTTCTAAAAATTAAATGGCAAGTCGAACCTACTCAATGTGATCGTAATTTAAATAATTTTTCGATAAAAAATGTGGACTTGTTTATGATAGGTCTGACTTTAGTACACGAATTATGCAATGCCTGAAAAGTATTTTTAATAGTCAAGGGGAACATTTCTGTCTTTAAGAATAATGTTTAAGGCTATAATTTTGAAGTTTAGAATATTAAATATAACGACCCTCACTTTTACTTACACTCAATAATGGATAAACGTTAACTTAAGTTATATTTTTTAAATTTGTTTGGAGGAGGCTGCCTAAGCAAAACCACATGAGTGTATGTAAGAGTGAGAATCGTCATATTAAGTAGGACCAAAAAAATGTTAAAAAAAACTCCAAAATCTTATAAAAATGTTGGAAATATTCCAAAAATATCTGCTAATTATGTGACATAAATTGGGAATATTTTAATTAAATTAAATCCAAATTTTCACATCAAAGTACAATCCTTTTCCTTCTTTTCTTGTGGTGGATAATGTGGATAACTTCCTTCACTTCCAGTATTGCCAGCAGGATAAGATGAACTTCCAGCAGGATAAGGAGCCGCTCCAGTTGGGTAAGGCGAACTGCCGGTTGGATATGGCGAAGCGCCTGGATATGGTGGTGCATTCCCTGCCCCCTGCTGTGAAGGATTCCACCCGTGGCCTCCTATAAATACTTTCGATTTTTTTAAAAAATCGACAAAAAACTAACCTCCAGCATTCGGGTATGGTGTACCTCCATATTGTTGTTGATTTGGAAGTGGATAGGCTGTCGCTTGGGCATAAGGTGGAGGAGCAGTTGTATTCAATCCCCTAATGCGCAAAATTCTGACGTGTGTTCCTGAAGGTGGCATTCCAGGCAAAGGCTCGTCAAAATCTCCCCATAAATAGACATTTCCTGTAATATTAAAATTTTGTGAAATTTTAGATAAATTGAAGTAATTTAGAAAATTTGTCAGCTTCAAAAAATTAAAAAATATTTAAATTTAATTTTCAAACTCACCAGAATTAGCAGTAGTTAATCTAGGCTCAATTAAAGGCACAGGCATTTGTGCAGGTACTTGATTCCATTTAAACGTTGTCAAATCCAAAACCCAATAATCAACTAAGCGAACAACACCACCCTCTCCATAATCAATTTCTCCGCCAGCCAGAAGAATGAAGCCAGAAATTGAATCAATTGCGGCTTGTTTACGAGGCGGGGGAAATCCTCTTGATGGATCAGCATTCATATATTGAGTACTGAGAGGACCACGAGTACTTAAATTTAAAATATGCACACGGCTGTGATCAAAATGTCCATCGGGACTCGAAGAGAGAAAATACATATTTCTGAAAATTATTTATGATTTACCCAAACTTTTTTAAAAACAAACCCTCGACTAACAAATCCATCATAAAAATGTGAAAGTTCAGATCCTGGCACCGAAAAACGATCCATTGGTTCTTGTGGAGCACTCGCCTCTGCATTGATTTTAACAACATTAAGACCAGGACCGTGAACAACAACGAGTTGGGGCTCATCTTCCCGCATTGTACAAATAAATTCTGAGTCGATAACGATTGGAGCAGTAAGCAAAGAATGTGGATCAGCCATTAAAGACATTCCATCATAATTCATATTAACACGCCAGACATGCATCTAAATAAAGGAAAGGGACTTCTTACACATTATGGGGGTAAATTACGGAGGTAAACACTTAAAATTTGTCAAGCTATTAGAGGTGCCATTCAATTAAAGAGAATGCGGTAATTTGATCATAAATATGTTCTTACGGACAATTTGTCAGTTGGAAGAGAAAAATAATCGGTCTGAACGTTCGACTCGGACTGACAGTCTGAGTCGTCCGAAATAAAAATAAACTAACCACAAATTGCCCATAATCCTCAGATTGTGTAACTAATGCAAAAGCAGTTCCACCACTTGGAGATGGACTTTTCAATGCAAAAAGGAATTTAACACGGCCTAAAAATGAGTGATATTTAACATTTCTAAATTCTTAAATACCTTGAACACGTAAATTTATTTCCCCGACAAAACATTTCCGATTAGTGTCAAAAACAACTAAACAAGTCATTCCCTTCCTGCCGCCACTAAAAAATTAAAAAAAATATTTTAGAAAAAGATAATTAAAGTACGTTGTGTAGCAAGTATCGTCAGCAATTGGATCATAAAGAAAATAAAGTTTGCTTGTATCTAGAGATTCTTGTACATCCTGAAAAACAGAAAGTCGCCATTTTCCATATTGTTGGTCAAGGGAATCTGGTGCTTGTCCCCACGGAACAGTTATATCTTCAGTGTTTACTTGCATTTTTTAAAAAAATATTTCTGAAATGAAAAATAAAATTTAATTAATTAAGAAGAAAAAAGAAGACGTTAAATTTTTTGAAATTTTAGTAATATTAAATGTGAACATTTCTTAAAAATAAATGTTCCTTTTGATAAATGATTTAAAATTTTCTATTCAGCGAGTAAACAAAAAAAGGAAATAGTAACTAAAGAATTGTTTTTTCCCAAACAAGTGCGTATAGAACTTTCAAAACAAGTGAAGAAGGGGTGACATGACTGAAAAATAAAATTTAACTGCAAGTGTCAATCCGCGCGAATTTCGTTCCGCAAGTGTCAGGTACAGCGAGATGACCTTGATATTAACAATTTTATTGCTCTCGACTCTCCCCAAACATTATTATGATTTCATCGAAAAATACCCATTTATGCCTTTAAGAAAATAAACCTTCCTTCTCTCATCTCTCCATCTGTTTATAAAAATATTGATTATTTTTAGGAAAACTAAAAATGTAAACAATGAGTAATAGGGGAAAATTTTGAAAAATATTTTCAAAATTTTAAAATATTTTATGTAAGGGAGACCTTAAGAAAATACAAATCTAGGAAAACAAAAATTACTAAACTTTAAAGATGCGAAGATTTTTAAATATTAGCCAATCAGGCAATAAAAAAGATGAAGAAAAACCATTGAAAGCAAAACTCTTAAATTATAGAAAAAATAAAAAACAAACATTATTGGCAAAGGAAACACAAAAACAAAATTTATTAGAACAACAAAAAACAAAAATTAACAGAAATGTTTCCCCAACAAATTTATTTGAAAAGGTTTTTGAAAATTTTGTGAATTACCTTATTTCTTCTAAAGTGCGACTCCTTCTATTAGACGGCCCCTTCTAATAAACCGACCCCCTAGAGGAAGGTTGAAAAATAACCCGACTGGTCGCACTATCAGAAGAAATACGGCATTTCAAATTTCGTTTTTAGAATCAACCCCCTCAACAACAACAAACAAATCAAAATCCACAAACCTCAACAGAAAATGTAGTAAATAATGAAAATAAAATCAAATCAGAATTACTTCAATTACCAAAACCAGCGTGGAGAAATGTTTTAGAAAATTTTGGTTTTGATATTTTAGATAATTACCCAATGAGAAAATGGAGGGAATTTTGTTCAACAAATCCATTAATGTGTTGGATATTTACAGGAATTACTTGGGCAATTTGTTTAGTTTTTAAAATAAAAATTTATTTTTTAAAATAATTTTTAGGTCAATATTTGGCTGCTAAAGCAGAATTTGGCTTTGTTTTCCTCGCAATTTTTTTGTTACTTTTAATTCTTTTAAATCTTGGAATACGTGAAGAAGGGGAACTATCTGCTTATTCAGTATTTAATGAAGATTTTATAAGATTAGAAGGGGAATTGACGAGTGAAGACTTTGAAAGTGAAATTCTGATGAGGAGAAGAGTAACAAAAACAGATTAAACTTTTAGATTTTTGCTGTGTTGTTTTTTTATTTCTTTGTTAGATGCGCGTATTTATTAAAGATAATTTTTATAATTTGGAAATCCAAAAAATTATATAAAGTCTAAAGTGAGTGTCATTTTAAATAGGGTAGCGACCTGTCCCCCGACGATTTTTTTTGGCAAAAACCCCGACATGGCTTCCCCGGCAAACTCGATCCACGACACTTCCGACCCCGAAGTGTGGGTGCTACTCTAAGGAATGCTACCTAATTTTAAATATTAAAAGTAATTAGGATTACTTCTCTAGCATGTACATATTTATTAATTAATGACAAATAAATACATACAACTATTAGGTAATTTAAAGATATCACAGAAAATTTAAAGTATTATTAAAAAGTAAAATAAAAAATTCAATTATGCCGGATGGATACCCAAATAACGAGCAACAAAAACTCGAATTATGCTTGCTAAATTTTCAATTGTAGGGTTATCTAAAACATTAACATCATCCTTTGGTGAATGCCAAACATCAGGAAAAGGCATGGGAATTAACTAAAATATTAAATTTATTTTTAACAAAAAATTGGAAATATACATGCATTACAGGAACTCCTCTATGTAAAAATGGTATATGATCGTCTTCGGCTGCACTATAGGATACTCCAGGAAAGAAAATACGTGGAAGCTTGTTTATTACACCCAAACGGCTTAGATCAGTTTCTGTAAAAATATTTGGTTTAAATTAGAAATATTTTTAATGAAAGAATTTTTGGAGAGTAGGAGCAGAAAAATGCAAGATCAGAAATTTTAGAAGAAATTAAAAAATTCACTTTTAGATTACTTTTATGCGGAGGCGAAAGATATAGTCCTTGATTATGCGGGCAGAAAATAAAAAGCTTTCAGTAAACCCGCACGATAAAAATTTTTTATATTTGAAAATTTCCCTAGATTGTCCCAAAAACAATCCGTTCGTTGGGTACCAATTATAATTGTTGATAAATTTAAACCAATGCGTGGAAGATTTTGAAACAATTTTTCACTCATATGTCCAAAGCTATACTGTATTCTAGGCTTTTTAGCACCCAGCAGATCAAGTAAAACTAGTACATCCTAAATAAGAATTAAATTTAAAAAAACTTTTTAAATTATTTTTCACAATTCTATCAAGTTCTCTTCCCAGTACAAAGCCACTTCCATCTGTTGTTGGATACCACTTGCGTTCCCAAGTTTTAGCAAGATTCCTAGCACCATAAATTGAATCGTGATCTGACCACATGCGAAAAGCTTCCTCACCATCGAAAAATATTAATTGCAAAGTAATATGCTAGAAAATTTTTTTCAAATATTTAAATGAAATCTATTAACTAACTTGATTATCTCGAAAAGAAATCCTTTTTTGAAGCGTTTTTGCAATATCTAGTAAAAGTGCGCAAGGCAAGGCAGAATCCGTTGCACCAATAAAAACTTGTCTAAAATTTAGAAAAAAATTTTTAAAATTTCAAAAAATAAAAATTTACCCTGGCAATATTTTGGAATCATAATGACAGGCCAGAACTAGACGCCTATGAACTCGAGGATTAAGTGTAGCAATTAAATTGTTGAAAGTTTTTTCTCCATATGGTGTCATCATTGGAGAACTGTCCCATTCTGTCGTAAATCCAAATTCTTCTACTTTTGTTTTCAAATACTTAAAATAAAAGAATTATCCTTCCCATTACGGAGTAACTTTTAGAAAAATCTATTATCAATTGCACAATAACTATACGTCAAATTGTACCTAAATTTCCTACTCACCAAAATTAACCTCTCTTAAATATTTGAATAGTAGAATACTAAGAATAGAGGGATGTTAATTTCAAGACATACATTTGCAACTTTTTTATGCTCCTCAGTCCCAACCTGACGTTCTACCAGAATTGGTTGAAGCAGGGATCGGATGGAGACAATATCTGTCAATGATGCCACCTGCTTCAGTTCATCATCATTAAGTGCAACGAGAGAGTGTTGCTTCTGAAAAGTTTGACAGATGTGAGCATAAAACAATAAAAATTTACCTGATTTATTCGCCAATGAGCCAGTGCTTCAGAAAATGTTGTAAACAAGTTAATAACAATTAAAAGAATATAAAGTAATTTTAGAATAGGGCGAAGAACGCTTCGCATGAGAAATTGCAAGAATTTTTGTCCAATCCAACAAGTGGATCTAAAATAATGTAAAAATTAAAAAAATATGTGTATTGAAATGTGGAAGAAAAAAGGTCAATGAAAAAAGCAATAACAATCAAAAAGGAAATTTTTATGCTTTCCATAACAAATATATTAAACAAAAAAAGCTTCAAACATATTTATTATTATAGTTAAATTAAAAACATGTAAATATAAAATCAATTCGAAAATATATGGGTGGAAATAAAGAAATGACAAATAAAATAAAAATATAACAGTCTATAAAAAAATCTGAAAAATCAAGGGGATTTCCATAGGTAGAGGGGAAAATAGATGGGGAGGTTTACAAAATAAAAATTATGTCTTAAATAATTTTATTTTGTTGCATCTGCTTCATTAACAATCCATTCTGAAGAATTGAAGCCAAATTGTGTTCACTTTTCTCAGATTCAGAAACTTTAGCCAAATGGAAATCAAGAACTTTCTGAGAGTTTGGATTGAGTTCAGAGAATTCTGCGATATTTTCTAGTAATCGAGCGCAAAATTCATTTGGGTTGATTGAATTAAAACAATGACACTTAAAAAGTTTGTCAAAATACTAAAAACCTTAAAAATATCTAAAAAACCTTTAAAGAACTAAGCCCATATTGCTCAGCCATTCTGTACTTGAAAACAAAACATTTTCGACTATCTTCTATAAAAAAACGTTCGCAGCGTTCCTTAACCACTTGCAGATCGTATTTATCACATAATTGAAGAATGGTTTCAACATTGTTGTCTAAAATAAAATTATAAAAGATAAAAATATTTCTACCATCAGCATTTTTTTCCACCAGCAGCATTGTCTGGAACTCCACCGGCAACAATAATTGCATTTGCAACTAAAATTTAAAAGCATTAGCAAAATTTAGATAAATACAAAAAAACTACCATCTCCAATTCTAAGATGAGCCTCAATTCGTCCCACACGGTATTCAATAAGTCCCATTCGATCTAGAAGTTCACGCACATCTCGTCCCTGATCACGCAAATCTTGTTCCTGAAGTCGAAGCATCCTCATCAGCGTATTGAATTGAAAAGTAGAATTCACTCTCATCATACGCAATTCGTCCTTGATGTCGAATCCAAATTCCAACTAAAATTGCTGGAATTAAATAAGATTTTTAATACACATATCCTAGATTATTTAAAAAGCCTATAGATATTTTGTTTGGTCCAGGTTTATCATAATGCAGAAACGGAATATAGGTAAAATAATTTCGAAAACAAATGCCATTTGTTTTCGAAATATTAGCAAAAAAGAATATATCAGAAAAGAATAATATTAAAAAAGAAAAATACCTATAACTGAAGATTTCGGCTCACCAATTGGAGTAAATATCTTTAAAAAACCAATATTAAAAAACTTAAAAATTCAAAAAAACCTTTCCCTTTTGATTCCATAATCAAAATTTGCTGGATTCGAAGGAACCCCTAGCCGGTCATACCAAATTTGAGCAGGTCAAAATCACCAAGGCGGAGCAGATTCTTCATCTTCCTCATTTATTTGTTGTGATTGCTTATTTTTGGTTAATAATTCTTCCAAATTTTCTGCACAAAGTAATTTCTTAAAATAAAATTGTTTTAAAGTAAAAATTAAACGAAAAAGTCCGCAAATATAAAAATCTGCAAATTTAGTCCGCAAATATTAAAAATTTTTTTCTCAAACAAATACTATTTTCCTGGTGAAAATAGTAATGGAAAACACGGTTATTTTCTAAAAGTCCGCAAATATTAAAAAATTTCCTAAAAATTATTTAAAAAAACAAACATATTCATCAATTAGACAATCCTTCTTTTTCGGTAAACCGCCTAATTTAAAGTCCCAACCAGATTTTGAAGTCCTCTCCTTATCCATTTCTTCTTCAACAACTTCTTTTTCATCTTTTTTCTCTTCAACATTCCCCTGGTCAACTTGACATGAGGTTAGAATTTGCTGCCAATTTTTCATGTTCAGCTGATAATTTTGTTGTTTTTTCTCCCTTCTTTTTAAATGTTCTAGAAGTCCACAAAATTTGTTTTTTAAGTGAAGCTTTGGCATTTGCAAAAAGCCTCGAAAAACGCAAAATCCCGCTTTTATCGAAATCAGGGAATAATGAACTAAAATTAGTTTAAAATTTATTAAAAAATTAAAGAAAAAACTTGGATCAATATCATCCAACTCTGGCGTTTTTATCGCAGCAAGTGGGGCATCTGCTCTTTAAGATGGAGGAATAAATTCTGAAGATATTTAATTGGTTGTTTCTCTTCATTTCTACTGGTGTTTGTTATAAGATTTGGAATTGATCCAGGATGTACAAAAGTAGCTTCTTCCGACATTAGTTAAATATAAACTAAAATACAAATTAAAAAAATAAGTAAGGGGGATAAGAAAGAGATCAAAAGACCCAAAAGGAGAGGATGTTTTAAGTCAGTTCGCAAATGTCGTCTTGCCTTGGATTTGACGGCCCACCCTCTCAATGCTATTTCTTCTTTGTCAACAGATACAGCCCAAGTAGGCGCAGCCATAACGGCGTAAAGCCATAATTTGTTTTAGGATGTCCGAATTCTTACCAAATTTAGTATTAAACGATTCCTCTCATCGAGCTAAAGAGATCGGTACCAAAGTTGATAAGGTCCAGAAATTTTCCAGCTAGTTCTGGCTTTGCGCCGTTGTGGCCGCGCGCCTTGTCCTCTGTCAACAGGGCTGACCCGCTGTTGCTGTCACAAGGCAAACGAAAAAATCGATGACTGCGTATATTTAAACTAGCAAAAATGCTTTAAAGAGAAGCAGTTTTTTTGTGTTTTTCTATCAAAATAAAAAATTTTTAAACAAAATTTCTTGAGATTATTGAAATCCCCGTTATACAATCTTTGATCCCTTTATATTTTTAGAGTCAAAATTGGCAAAAGCCTCTTAAACAACAATTTTTGGAACGTCTTAAACTATGTTAAAATTTGAACTTTTAAATATTTTTTTATTTCAACATCCTAAAGATGGACTTGACGAAGAATTGGTTGGTTAGATTAATTTTTTTAAATTTTGGAATTCTTAAACTATCAAATAAACCCCTTTTAATTAAATAACCCGTTATGTTTTTAGGATACAAATCAAATTTATGTTATTAGAGGTGATCAATTTTTTGACAAGCCTGAGGATGAGACGGAAGAATATTTTGTTTCTGAGCCGCATGAATTCGATTATTGGGACTATTGGGTATCTTTTTTAAAATTAGAAAAAAATTCTCGGTTGAAACTGACTGACATAAAAAGATAAATGTATAAAAATCACTGAAAAATAATAGATTTCTTCAAAATTACTGAGATCCATTGTCGGACTCAAATAGGCTCTTTTTTCTTTTTACCACTTTGATTTTCTCGCGGAATTGGCATTTTTATTTTATTTGCATTTTATTCTGGAAATTTTTTCTAAAGGATCATTTTTTTGTTTGACCTTCTCAATTTTTTCATTTTTTTGACATCCTTTTTTATTTAGGTTGATTTTTATTTCCAAATTATTTTTTAAAATAAGAATGGCATTATTTGCGAGATTTTTTGGTGGTCATGCCGCACTTAATTATGTCAGTTTTAAAAATAGGCTTTTAATTAGTAAATGAAATTTCTTTTTCTTTTAAGAATATCCCTGAATTGCGCTACAACCGGAACAAATTCTTTTCTGATGACAATTGTTTTGGAACGAAGCGGTTTATTGAGTATCGTGATTTTGTATGTATTTTTACTTAAACCTAGAATGAGTTTATATTGCGTAAAGAATTGATTTTATAAATTTATATGTGCTCATACACATGTCTGTTACCGGGTTGGGCTTATGCAAAACGGCATGTGTTTTCGAAATTATTTTTAACCTTATTCCGTTTCTGCATTATGTAAACCTGGACCTAACAAAATATCCATAGGCTTTTAAATAATCTAGAATATTTGGATTAAAAATCTTATTTAATTCCAGCAATTTTAGTTGGAATTTGGATTCGACATCAAGGACGAATTGCGTATGATGAGAGTGAATTCTACTTTTCAATTCAATACGCTGATGAGGATGCTTCGACTTCAGGAACAAGATTTGCGTGATCAGGGACGAGATGTGCGTGAACTTCTAGATCGAATGGGACTTATTGAATACCGTGTGGGACGAATTGAGGCTCATCTTAGAATTGGAGATGGTAGTTTTTTTGTATTTATCTAAATTTTGCTAATGCTTTTAAATTTTAGTTGCAAATGCAATTATTGTTGCTCGTGGAGTTCCAGACAATGCTGCTGGTGGTGGCGTCCCAGCTAATGCGGCTGTGGTAGCTGCCCCAGCTGGTGGTGGTGGACAAGCTAATAATGTAGCTGCTGCTCCAGTTAATCGTGTTGACCCAGTTGAGAATGGCCTTAATAATTGAAGAAAAATTTTTTAAAAGGAATACAACGCTTTTTCTATTTAAAATTATTTCAAATTTAATATTTTTTAATTAAATAAAATTTCGCATTTTTTGTTGGACCAACAAATATTAGGGTTAGATCCCAAATTTTTTTAGTTTATTCAAACAAGAAATTTAAAAGCTTTCCTTGATTTAATTTGTTGTCCTTCACTTTCGTATGCATCAATAGTTGTAGATTGGTGGCTTGCTTGTCCACCCATTAAAAACATTTATCAAACCGTCAAAACGGAGATGAAAAGAGATGAGCAAAAAAAGATTAGTCTACTGGTCTCCCTCCAAAAAATTTTTTCCTTTTAATGTTAATCCTGGCTGCTTTTGTCTACATACTTTTGTTTAATATTTTAATTCCTCTAGGTTTTCTGCACAAAGTTGTTTTTTGAAATAATTATTGGATTTGTCCCGTTTGGTAGAATGTGGAAAAATTTTTTCTAAAATCCGCAAATTTTTCTAAAATTTAGGCAAAAGTAATTTAGGGAAAGTAGCCTTAAATATAAGGACACCTCTTCAAGCAATTATCTTGAATACCCAAACCCTCTCAAAAATTAAAAAAAATCATAAAAATATTTTTAAAAACAAACTTAGGAAAATCCGCAAATTTAAATCCGCAAAGTTTTGCAGACCTTTCATATCTTCAATATAAAATGAAGTTTGGCCGCCGTCATATATAGTGTGACTGAAACCTACGACCTGAAATGAACTGATCCAAAAATAAACAGCTGATTCAGAGTTGATTGATTTAAAATAAGGCAGTAACTACATAATTTTCTGTTAAATTTTCTATCGTTTTTAATACTTATGTCAGAAACGGAAGGCACGGATTTAAAAGGAGTTGTTCGGCTTCGAATAGATAAAGTTGCTGAGCTTGGCGCAGAAGCAACATTTTCACCAGCCGAGAAAATTGCTAAACTTCCCTGGTTATTTCTTAAAACATGCTAAATTAATTAATTTCTAAAATTTTAGGAGATTAGAAGTACTGAAAACTGCAGGTGAAGGTCAGCATTCTCCACCAACTCTAGCAGTTTATGTATGTTTTATATGTTTGTTTTAAATACTTAATATCTTTAAGGTATGGTGCAATTGGTTAAATAAGTCTAATAGTTGGTCATGTAGAGCTATTGTTAAATTTATAATCAAATCTCGCGAGTTGGACTTTGTCCGCAATTTTGAACATAATTTCTGTGCTAAACAACCATTTGTAAATTGGACAAGGCTTTTGGATCCTGGTAGTAGTAGCTATTCTTCTTCACATGAAAGTAAAGAATATGAAGACTCGTCTTTAGAGATTGAAGCGCAAATTTGTGTGAAAGAAATTATTGGATATGGGTTTGTTTTTTTATTTCTATCGTAATAATTATTAATTTTAAGCGTTCCAACAAAAGAAGACCAAATGTTTGTGAATGGGAATATATTTGTTGTGAATAAATTTGTAAGCAAAAAAGTAAATAAAAAATATTATTTAATTTGTTTAGCTTCTTGCTGCTCATTCTCCATATTTTCGAGCGTTTTTCTTCGAGGATCGCTTCCGCGAGTGTCAGACACAAACATTTGAAATTAACGATAAAGAAGTTGATGTGGATATGTTTGGTATAATGCTATCTTGTATCTACCCTGATAATGGGAAGCCTAATGGTTTAGTTTTTGCCTTTCTATGTCAGAAATATTTTAATTTTATTTTAGACAACAATGTTGAAACCATTCTTCAATTATGTGATAAATACGATCTGCAAGTGGTTAAAGAACGCTGCGAACGTTTTCTTATAGAAGATAGTCGAAAATGTTTTGTTTTTAAGTACAGAATGGCCGAGCAATATGGGCTTAGTTCTTTAAAGGTTTTTTAGATATATCTAGTTTTTAGTATTTTATCAAACTTTTTAAGTGTCATTGTTTTAATTCAATCAACCCAAATGAATTTTGCGCTCGTCTACTTGAAAATATCGCAGAATTCTCTGAACTCAATCCAAACTCTCAGAAAGTTCTTGATTTCCATCTGGCTAAAGTTTCTGAATCTGAGAAAAGTGAACACAATTTGGCTTCAATTCTTCAGAATGGATTGTTAATGAAGCAGATGCAACAAAATAAAATTATTTAAGGCATAATTTTTATTTTGTAAACCTCCCCATCTATTTTCCCCTCTACCTATGGAAATCCCCTTGATTTTTCAGATTTTTTTATAGACTGATATATTTTTATTTTATTTGTCATTTCTTTATTTCCACCCATATATTTTCGAATTGATTTTATATTTACATGTTTTTTTAATTTAACTAGAATAATAAATATGTTTGAAGCTTTTTGTTTAATATACATATTTGTTATGGAAAGCATAAAAATTTCCTTTTTGTTAGCGCTTTTTTTCATTGACCTTTTTTCTTCCACAAAACGGTTTTTCAGTTAGTTTCAGTCGTGTTTTGACTGTTTTTCAGTCAAAATTGACCCTGCTTTGACTGTGAAAACACGGTCAGTCAAAACATGAACAAAAAACAAAATGTAAAAAATTAATCCTCTTGCATCATTTTTCCTTACGGCAAAACAGGGTTGCGTCGTAATTACGATTACGAATTACGGCGTTTTTTCAGTTACGAATTACGATTATGAAAAATTTTTTTTTAAATTACGAATTACGATTACGAAAAAAATTTTCGATTACGACTCAACTCTGCGGCAAAATCAGCATACATTAAAAACTAAGGAAAAAGTTCCCCATTTTTAACTTGAAGAAGAAAGGAGGAAAAATATGATTACGCACCTCATTTGCGATAGGGCCGCAAAAACTCAAAATTTCAAATTTTTTGTTTAATCGGACTCGTCTCTTCGAGCTGAGTCGATTGGTATCAAAATGATTACGTTCCGACATCTTTAGACTAAGTTATGGTGTCTGCTTTATATACGGAAGTCTAACCAATCGTGTATTTAATTGATCATAACCGTGTCAGGGCAGTTCTTCGAACGGACACGACTTCGACCGACAAAACTTCGTCGGACTAGCACTTTTTCCTCATTTTTTCTAGTGACCAGTAAAGCGCAAGATTACCAAATTACCCAAATGTTTGACCATGCAAAAAATCTTCGTTTAAATGCAGATGTAATTGAAATTGAAAAAGACAACAAAGGGCGTATCGGTATTGCTATTGGAGGAGGTGCACCTATTTGTCCATGTCTTTATATTGTTCAAATATTCGAAAATACACCTGCAAAAAAGAATGGACTTATTGGATTGGGAGATGAAATTGTGTCAATAAATAGAGAAAGTGTTAGAGGATTCGAAAAATCTGAAGTTGATTTTTTTTTCTTTATCGAACACAAATAAATAAAATGTGAAACAATAAAATAAAACTCCTGGATCCACAGGGATCACTTATGGAGAGGTAACATACAAAAAAAATGCAAATACAATAAGACGGTTTAAAAAAATGTTAAGTTAAAAATATATAAATAAATGGACTCCACAGAAAAAAATATATATAACTGTAAATTTAAATTAAATGTATGAAAGTTTAAAATGTATGAAAGTTTAATAAATGTATAAAAAATATATGTATATTTAGGTAAAAAAAATATTTGTATTAAAAATAATTTCTTTTAATTTAAGGTAAATATGTTTAGGTAAGAAAGTGAACACTTAGGTTAGGATTTAATTGTTAATACACTCCATTAATTCATTACTCATAAATTATTATCTTCTGTAATTAAGATTTTGTCTAAGAATTTTTTGAATTGAGGAATAGTATTTATTTTTTCTATTTCATTTTTTGGAAGTTTATTCCACCTATCTATGATTCTATGTGAAAAGAAATGATTATTTTTAGCTTGTTTCTTAAATATTTGATATCTATGCAAGCGCGGATTATTTCTATTAGGTTTTGAAAATATTTGTTCTGGATTTATTTTATAGAACCCTTTTATTATTTTGAAGGTTGTCATAAGATCTGTTCTTATACGACGGATATTAGTTGGAGGGAGTTTGCATCTTTTTAGTCTTTCGTTATAGCTTATTTTTTGGTATTTGTATTTATATCTTAAAACTTTCCTTGTAAAGCTTCTTTGAGGTCTCTCTAATTGTTTGTTAAGATATTCTAGTTTTGGGCTAAAACTTTCAGTGGAATACTCCATAATTGGCCTTACGTATGTTTTAAATGCCTTTACATAAGTATCTATTGGTAATGTTTTAGGTAATATTCTTAGAATATTATTTAGCCTTATAAATGAGGATTTAGTGATTCTTGCTACATGTTGTTCAAATTTAAGTTTGTTATCTATGTATATACCTAAGTCTCTTATGTTATTAACTTCTTCGATTTTGTCACCGTTAATCTCATAGTTATACTTAATTTTGTTGTATATTTTTAGAACCTTAACTTTTGAGATAGAGAATTCCAGTCTATTATTTTTTGCCCATCTATATGCATTGTTTATAGCTCCTTGGAGCTCTATACAATCTTTTTCTGTTTTAATTTCCGAATAGAGCTTAAAGTCATCTGCATATAATTTTACTTTTATGTTTTTTGGGATGTGTTTGGGTAGGTCATTTATATATATCAGGAACAGCAATGGTCCTAATACAGTTCCTTGGGGAACACCTGTTTTTGGCAGGAATGGTTCAGAGAAATGATCACCTATTTTTACAATATGAGATCGATTTGAGAGAAAATTTCCTATCCATCTAATTGTTAAGCTATCTATTTTTATTTCTTGTAATTTTCTTATAAGTATTTGGTGATCTACCTTATCAAAGGCTTTCTCAAAGTCAAAATATATGACGTCCGTACCTATTTTCCTATCAAGTGAATTATACCAGTCTTGCATAGATGATAAAATTTGTAGTGTACAAGAGCTTTTAGGTAGAAATCCAAATTGCTCCTCAGCAATTAATTTATGTTTATTAAGGTGTTCTAATATGTTATTTGCTATTATGCGCTCAAAAACTCTACAAGTTGGGGATGTTAATGCAATTGGTCTGTAATTTTTTGGGTCGTTTACTGAACCCTTCTTTTTAAATATCGGTAGAATGTGAGCTATTTTCCATAATTCAGGGACTATTCCTGTTTTGAATGTATTTTCATATAAAATTGAGAGAGGAAGAGCTAAGGGGGTAGCACATTTTTTTAGAAAATATTGATTGATATTCTCAGGACTATGGGATAATTTATTTGGGAGCTTTTTTAGTAGTTTTTCTATTATATAAGGTTCAAAAATGATTTCTTCCTGATATCCATCCTTAGCTTCGAAGCTTGCTTGTATATTGTTTTTACTTCCGCTAACTATTTCTTCAAAAATATTTCTAAATTTATTTGCCTTGTCTATATCTAATACTATGGGGTCGTTTTCCTCAGATTCGTTAAGTATAGGTATACCAGCGTATTTAAATCGATTTCTCTTCATTAATTTATGTATTTCCCCTATATGCCCAGATCCTATTTTTTTCGATAAATAATTGTTTTTATGTTTTTCTATTTGTAATTTACATTTAATTTCAAGACATTTATAATTATCTTTACTAATTTCCCTTAATTTTAGCTTTTTCCATGCATCAGCTTTTTGTTTGATTATTTCCCTAATCTCTTTAGGATATTTCATAGGGGTTTTTTCACTAAATTTTTTAAATGGGATGAATTTTTGAATTGCTTGGGTTATTATGGAATTTAGTATTTCTGCCATTTCAGAGGGATTCTTGTCCTTAAATATATTGTACCAATCATATTGGGCTAAATACCAATTGATTATTTTATATTTTCCTTTCTTAAATAATAGTACCTTTCTTTTTTCTTTAGAGTTTACTTTTTCTACAGGAAAAACTACTTCAAATACTATAGATTTGTGGTCACTCAACACCAAATCATCTATAATTTTGTATTTTTCTATTAATTGCTTATTTTGAAAAATAAGGTCTAGTGTATGGGAAGTGTTATACATGGTTGGTTCTTTTATTATCTGATTTAAATTTAGCTTATTTATGGTATTGTAGAAATATAAGTTCTGATTATCTTTCGGAAGTGTAAACTCCTGCCAATTTATTTTCGGAAAGTTTAAATCCCCTAATATAATATTTGAGAGATCATTTTTATATTTTTTCTTTATTAATCCCCAAAATTTTTTATCATCGACTAATTTTGTATTTGGCGGCCTATATATTAAATGGAATCTAATTCTTTTAAATTCTGAGTAAATATCGAAGGTAAGGAGCTCATGATTGTATTCGGATATCGAAAGTGTCGGGATATTAATAATTTTTATTTCCTTTTTATAAACTACGCCTACGCCCCCGCCTCTTTTTTTTAATCTATCTACTCTAATAAAGTCATAACTATTAGAAGTGAGAAGGGATTCGTTCGATGTATTATCAGTTAGCCATGTCTCACATAAAAAGGCTAAATGAATATTATTTTTAATTAAATAATTTTCTAACTCAAATAATTTATTTGCGGTTTTTTCTGAATTAATGGAGCGTATATTTAGAAGTAAGCAGTTTAAATTTAGTAATTTTCTATTATTTGTGTGATTATTTTTCTGTGAGGTCCCTAAATCCTAGTCCATGTTCACTTCCTTTTTATAAAAAATTTTAAGATTACGATAAGAAGCTGTGCCATTTCCATGTTTTGTATTGATTTCTTTAACCTGTTGTTTGAGGTAGTTTTGTAGTTGTAGTTCAGGTGGGGTTAAGTCCCTTCTTGCGAAAGGACTATGCCCACCTAAGGTAGGTTTGTGTATTGTTCTATATTGATTAATAAATGAATGTGCGGCAGCTGGAGTCGAAAATTTAACTTTGATGATTCGATGATAATTGTTTTGCTTCTTGATCCCGTGTCGTTTAATTTCGAAATTTTTTGCTTCCTTAAAGTTTTTGTTGTTTATTACTATTTGAACATTTCTTTCTATGTTCTTTAAGTCTTCTTCCTCATTTTCCAATTCTGGAAATCTTTCAATGACTGCGTAAAAACTCTTCTTTTTATAAAGTTCTTTCAAATTTTCATCAAATACGGGCTGTTGAAGCTGTTCAATTGTCATTGCAGCTTGTTTAATTTTTGGTGGCATTAAGTTTGGGGGGCAACCCCATCGAGATGTTTTTTGTTGTTGGGGCTCGGATTGAGGAAGATTAATGTTTAGTTGTTGCTGAATTTGTTGAAATAATGTTTTTATAGTTGTTTCGATTATTGGTGTGAGAAGTTGCACAACATTACAGGAAATTTGTTCAAGTTGTGTTTGTGTTAGGATCGGTGTTTGATCAATCTCACTGTCTGTATTAATCGATGTGCAGGTTAATATAATCGATGTGCAGGCTTAATAATTGAAGAAAAATTTTTTTCAAAAGGAATACAACGCTTTTTTCTATTTAAAATTATTTCAAATTTAATATTTTTTAATTAAATAAAATTTCGCATTTTTTGTTGGACCAACAAATATTAGGGTTAGATCCCAAATTTTTTTAGTTTATTCAAACAAGAAATTTAAAAGCTTTACTTGATTTAATTTGTTGTCCTTCACTTTCGTATGCATCAATAGTTGTAGATTGGTGGCTTGCTTGTCCACCCATTAAAAACATTTATCAAACCGTCAAAACGGAGATGAAAAGAGATGAGCAAAAAAAGATTAGTCTACTGGTCTCCCTCCAAAAAATTTTTTCCTTTTAATGTTAATCCTGGCTGCTTTTGTCTACATACTTTTGTTTAATATTTTAATTCCTCTAGGTTTTCTGCACAAAGTTGTTTTTTGAAATAATTATTGGATTTGTCCCGTTTGGTAGAATGTGGAAAAATTTTTTCTAAAATCCGCAAATTTTTCTAAAATTTAGGCAAAAGTAATTTAGGGAAAGTAGCCTTAAATATAAGGACACCTCTTCAAGCAATTATCTTGAATACCCAAACCCTCTCAAAAATTAAAAAAAATCATAAAAATATTTTTAAAAACAAACTTAGGAAAATCCGCAAATTTAAATCCGCAAAGTTTTGCAGACCTTTCATATCTTCAATATAAAATGAAGTTTGGCCGCCGTCATATATAGTGTGACTGAAACCTACGACCTGAAATGAACTGATCCAAAAATAAACAGCTGATTCAGAGTTGATTGATTTAAAATAAGGCAGTAACTACATAATTTTCTGTTAAATTTTCTATCGTTTTTAATACTTATGTCAGAAACGGAAGGCACGGATTTAAAAGGAGTTGTTCGGCTTCGAATAGATAAAGTTGCTGAGCTTGGCGCAGAAGCAACATTTTCACCAGCCGAGAAAATTGCTAAACTTCCCTGGTTATTTCTTAAAACATGCTAAATTAATTAATTTCTAAAATTTTAGGAGATTAGAAGTACTGAAAACTGCAGGTGAAGGTCAGCATTCTCCACCAACTCTAGCAGTTTATGTATGTTTTATATGTTTGTTTTAAATACTTAATATCTTTAAGGTATGGTGCAATTGGTTAAATAAGTCTAATAGTTGGTCATGTAGAGCTATTGTTAAATTTATAATCAAATCTCGCGAGTTGGACTTTGTCCGCAATTTTGAACATAATTTCTGTGCTAAACAACCATTTGTAAATTGGACAAGGCTTTTGGATCCTGGTAGTAGTAGCTATTCTTCTTCACATGAAAGTAAAGAATATGAAGACTCGTCTTTAGAGATTGAAGCGCAAATTTGTGTGAAAGAAATTATTGGATATGGGTTTGTTTTTTTATTTCTATCGTAATAATTATTAATTTTAAGCGTTCCAACAAAAGAAGACCAAATGTTTGTGAATGGGAATATATTTGTTGTGAATAAATTTGTAAGCAAAAAAGTAAATAAAAAATATTATTTAATTTGTTTAGCTTCTTGCTGCTCATTCTCCATATTTTCGAGCGTTTTTCTTCGAGGATCGCTTCCGCGAGTGTCAGACACAAACATTTGAAATTAACGATAAAGAAGTTGATGTGGATATGTTTGGTATAATGCTATCTTGTATCTACCCTGATAATGGGAAGCCTAATGGTTTAGTTTTTGCCTTTCTATGTCAGAAATATTTTAATTTTATTTTAGACAACAATGTTGAAACCATTCTTCAATTATGTGATAAATACGATCTGCAAGTGGTTAAAGAACGCTGCGAACGTTTTCTTATAGAAGATAGTCGAAAATGTTTTGTTTTTAAGTACAGAATGGCCGAGCAATATGGGCTTAGTTCTTTAAAGGTTTTTTAGATATATCTAGTTTTTAGTATTTTATCAAACTTTTTAAGTGTCATTGTTTTAATTCAATCAACCCAAATGAATTTTGCGCTCGTCTACTTGAAAATATCGCAGAATTCTCTGAACTCAATCCAAACTCTCAGAAAGTTCTTGATTTCCATTTGGCTAAAGTTTCTGAATCTGAGAAAAGTGAACACAATTTGGCTTCAATTCTTCAGAATGGATTGTTAATGAAGCAGATGCAACAAAATAAAATTATTTAAGGCATAATTTTTATTTTGTAAACCTCCCCATCTATTTTCCCCTCTACCTATGGAAATCCCCTTGATTTTTCAGATTTTTTTATAGACTGATATATTTTTATTTTATTTGTCATTTCTTTATTTCCACCCATATATTTTCGAATTGATTTTATATTTACATGTTTTTTTAATTTAACTAGAATAATAAATATGTTTGAAGCTTTTTGTTTAATATACATATTTGTTATGGAAAGCATAAAAATTTCCTTTTTGTTAGCGCTTTTTTTCATTGACCTTTTTTCTTCCACAAAACGGTTTTTCAGTTAGTTTCAGTCGTGTTTTGACTGTTTTTCAGTCAAAATTGACCCTGCTTTGACTGTGAAAACACGGTCAGTCAAAACATGAACAAAAAACAAAATGTAAAAAATTAATCCTCTTGCATCATTTTTCCTTACGGCAAAACAGGGTTGCGTCGTAATTACGATTACGAATTACGGCGTTTTTTCAGTTACGAATTACGATTATGAAAAATTTTTTTTTAAATTACGAATTACGATTACGAAAAAAATTTTCGATTACGACTCAACTCTGCGGCAAAATCAGCATACATTAAAAACTAAGGAAAAAGTTCCCCATTTTTAACTTGAAGAAGAAAGGAGGAAAAATATGATTACGCACCTCATTTGCGATAGGGCCGCAAAAACTCAAAATTTCAAATTTTTTGTTTAATCGGACTCGTCTCTTCGAGCTGAGTCGATTGGTATCAAAATGATTACGTTCCGACATCTTTAGACTAAGTTATGGTGTCTGCTTTATATACGGAAGTCTAACCAATCGTGTATTTAATTGATCATAACCGTGTCAGGGCAGTTCTTCGAACGGACACGACTTCGACCGACAAAACTTCGTCGGACTAGCACTTTTTCCTCATTTTTTCTAGTGACCAGTAAAGCGCAAGATTACCAAATTACCCAAATGTTTGACCATGCAAAAAATCTTCGTTTAAATGCAGATGTAATTGAAATTGAAAAAGACAACAAAGGGCGTATCGGTATTGCTATTGGAGGAGGTGCACCTATTTGTCCATGTCTTTATATTGTTCAAATATTCGAAAATACACCTGCAAAAAAGAATGGACTTATTGGATTGGGAGATGAAATTGTGTCAATAAATAGAGAAAGTGTTAGAGGATTCGAAAAATCTGAAGTTGCTTCATTAATAAAGGAAACCCAAGGTTTGTTTTTCTAAATTTATAAAATTTAATCTTTATTTGAGGTCCAATAAAAATTTCATTAAATCGTCTCCAATTTGATTCTGAAAGCGCCTCACTAACTATTGATATTTTGTTGAAGAAATTTAAACATCGATTTGTAGCTTCTATTGATGATGATACGGCTGATGCTTTGGGGCTTTCCCGAGCTATTTTGTGTAATGATGTTCTTGCAAAACTTAAAGAGCAATTAGAAGCTAACCAAAAATTCTACAGAAATTTAATTAAAAAATCAGAAGAAATGGCCAAATATTATCATGTAATATCTGACACACAAAATTGTATTGGGAGTGTTTTTTCAGAACTTTCGATCAAAGAAGTAACAGGCGAGGAAGTTAATCTCAAGAAGGACTTTACTGGTCTCTCAGATATTCATAAACACTTAAGCACTGGTCATCATTTATTCTCCAACAAATTAGAATCACTCGTTAAAGCACTAAAATGTCATGCTGAAGCAGCCATTCCAGATGTTCATCAAACGTTAACAAAATATTTGGATGCAAAATATGAATATTTAGCGTATTGTTTACGTGTGAAGGAATTAGAGGATGAAGAAGCTGAATATGGAATGATTCAAGAACTTCTACCAAGAATGCAAACGGGGAATTACGAATACCGTGCAATGCTTCGACATAGAGAACAAAGCCGAGAGAATTTTTTGGAGAAGAGAAAAACGGTTGCAGTAAAAATTGAGTTGCTTGATGAAAGACACGGTTAGAAATATTTAAAAATTATTTTTCTAAAAATTATTAAATAATTTTAAGTTAGAGAGTTGGCCTTGCAACTTAAGAATTTGATTAATGAAATGAGAGATATGCATGTTAAATCACGTGATGAGATTTCAAAAATTTTGTGATTGTAAACCTTTTTCCCTCTATTGTTTTATTTTTTGTTCTTGAAAATTTCCCAGAACTCTAAAAGTGGGCACTACTTAAGAATCCCAATTGGATGATCTCTTTTAATTAAAAATAAAAATAATTATACTCGTATACATTTTTTTATTTTTAAGCGAATTCTGCGCTTTTTTCTTTCTTACAATATTTATCTATTTTTTAAATTTTATTTTGAATTAATTAGTGAATTATGAAACATGGCAGAGTTCACCACAGATGAGTTGATTGATTGTATTCGCCATAATATTGCTCTATTGAATGATAGTGGATTTGATAGTAGAGTGTTACTTTCTCCAAGGAGGTTTAATTATTATTTTTGGTTTTGTTGGGTTAGGGAAAGGGCTTCCTGATGTTTCGCTATTTTTCTGACACTTTATAATTTTTTTCCAAAACTAAGCTTGCGTTTTTAATTTGTTATTTTATAAAGCTTTCCGGCCGTCTTCCTGGCTGTTTATGTATAAATTTGTCTAATAAATTCATGTTTGCAGGCACGCTGTACCAGGTGGTCTTCCTTTAGAAATGTGCAAAGGAGAAGACGAGGCAGGCCCTTCATCTCTACATTACGAACTTCAAAAACAATTTAAGCAACAAAAATATTCTTCAACAAAAAATGATTCTCAGCAAATGTATCAACAAATTCGCAAAAATTTACTGGCACAACTGAATGGAATTGAACGCAGTGGACGATTATTTAATAAAACTGCACTTCCTTTCAATCAAAGGCCTACAGAATGTACATTAAAGTTTGAGCCAAAAAATCCTGAAGAACTCCTTGACGGGCAAAAACCCCTTTCACTTACTAGCAGGTTCTCTTTTATAATAAAATTTGAAAATCTTTCTCTTTTAGACTTATTTCTCAAGCAAAATTCTCTGAAGGAGCTGTTGATAATCCGACTTGTTCTCTCTCATTCGCTGAATTTGCTAAGTTTGAGGCTATGGTTTTTTTACTTTTCTATATAATTAATGAACTTAATTTTATAGGAAGGCATTTTCAGCTCTAAGAAATTCAACATTCTTTTTCCGGCTGTATACTTTGGGGAGAAAGGTCATGTATTGACAATTTACATTTTGAACACTGCTACTATTGATGATCTGATTGGGCTTGCTTGCCATGTTTATTCCCGGAAGTCGCTCAATCCTCCTTGGTATTTTTTTATAAAAATTAAGTTTTTTATTTGTTATAGGTTTTAAATTTATTAAGGCTATAAGTCGAATTTTTGCGATTTAAGTACTTGTTGTTGCTCAGTTGCTTTCTAAATTTATTTTCCGAGTTTTTTTTAATTTTTCTTGAAATATTTTTTTTTGTGCATACGGAATTTTTTACGTGATTTTTAATTATCTCGAATTATTTCGTCTTTACTTGATTTCTAAAATAATGCAATCTTTCAGCGAATCCCCTTCTCTTTATGACCTCTATTTAGCTGAAGAAGATTTGTCAGATTTCGATACTGATTTACCACCACAAGATAGGAGACGTCGTGTCGCTGATTGTGGCTTTCCTAATCTTGCAATTGTTAAACGTTCACTTGTTAGGAGACGTTCTTCACAACAGAGCCGAAAACTAGTTGTTCGAATGTATGTTTATTTTATCTAGAAATTAATTTCATTTAATATCCAATTTAGTTATTTAGTAGACGGGCGTTGTTATACTATGGACGAAGTTGAAGGCATTTCTCTACGTCAAGTTTTTGAATATGCCTTAAGTAGAAAAAACGAAGACGAGCAGTCAAATTCAACTGAAGCTAATCAACTGCATGAATTTTTTCGTGGTAAGAATATTTTTATATCAGAAGTGCTTTTTTCTTTCAAAAGATGTTGAATATCAACTCGAACCAATCGATTATCCTGGTGTTGCTCTCGAACTAGATCAATCAGTTTCTTCTGCTGGCACTTTAGACTTTTTGCTTATTAGAAAGAATAGTTCTCGTGGAGATTTTGACATTTCTTTGGCAACTCGAAAGCCTTCGGATTTATTGCCTTTATTGCACAAACAAAGCAAGTCAATGGATTTTTCTAGGATGTTAGGTGTAGATGATATGCAAAATATATCCGTGAAAGAAGATTCAAAAATATTTTCAACTTCAATCAACGAATTGGGTAGGAATTTTTAATGTCTAAAATTATGTATATTTTAATTTTAGGCCTTCAAAATCCATTACAAACATTTCCATTAGAAACATCTTTTTCTACTTGCCAAAATTCTTCACCAGATGATTTAATTGCCAATCAATTGACAAATATACTTTCTGGAGGTCCTATATTAAATGAATATTCTGTCAACAAAATTAATCGGTTTAAACCAAAAACGCTTTTGAAATTAGGTTAGTTTATTTAAATATCTTTTTTTAAAGTAAATTATTTGCTTTAAATATAGTTATTCGTGAAAACTGTTTGGAATTGATTCAGAGGGGTAAGTTTCGAAAAGCTGACACTGATAGAAAAATTAAGAGGGTACCTTGGAAACTTGTTGCTTCTGTTGAAGTGTCACCAAACTCAGAGAAGCGGGTTAATGGTACTATTTTTTGTTTATTTATTATTAAAGTTTAGTCATAAACTTTTACTTGTGGGATGAATTTTCGTTCTTCCCAGAAATTGAATAAAAATCCTGAAATCGATAATATTTTTTAACATTTTCGAAATTAAAATTTCGAAACATCTCTGATTTTGTTGTACTTTCTCCTCTCAATGCTTATAAGATTTTTTAAAAAATTAATTAAATTTTAAATGTTTATGGGTTTTTGTTTTCTTTTAAATTTATATTCATTTATTCTTTCAAGTCTCTTTTAAGCTCTTCGATTAGTTCGAATTACCTTTCTTAGCTGTATTTCATCTACACTTATGCAACATATTCTTGAATCTGAAAAAACAGAAAAACTAACTCAGGGAAATTTAGTTAAATTATTAATTTATTTTTAATTTATTTTTATATAATTTAAGATTTATGAAGGTTCTTGTTGGAAAATTTTAATTATTGAAGCTGCTGCACATGAAGCGTGGCAAATTGGTTTGAAGGTGATTTTAATACCTTAATTTAATTTTTTTTTAATTTAAATATTTAGTTAAACGAACAATTAAATTTGTGGCCTTCCCAAGTTCATTTACTTTATAACTACTCTTTAGCAAGTAATTTAAAACCAAAAATTGCTGCAGAAAAAGCATTTGGTACGGAAAAACAATTTTCTTCCTCAGCTTCGTCATTTACAATTTCAGCTAAAAGTGATAAAGGATTAAAGAAGAAATTGTCTTCAATACTTTCTAGAAAAAGATTATAGTTTTTTGTAGTAAATATTTACATGGCGTAAAAAACCTATCTTGTTTTACGATTAATAATTTTTATTAGAGTTTGATTTTTCAAATTCCCGGATTCTGTTCTAGGGTTTTTGTTGTAACCAGGGCTGGTCTTCAAGGCTAAAACCTTGAAATATCTGATTTTTGCACCAGGGCCCTGATCAGGCTTTTTTCTTAAATTGATAAAGATAAGTCAAAAAATTTTAAGATTCGAAAATCCTTTAATTTTTAATTTTTATTGTTTATTTTTGTTTTGGATATTATTTCACAATTCACAATCAACATTTTGTTAATTTCGTATTACCCGGTTATGTGTTCTATTTTTTTCTTATATTTACCTCTCATATATAATTTTATATTTTTGATGTATTTTATGTTCAAAAATAAATAAAATATTTTAGTTAATTGTTTTTTAAACTTCGCTTTTATTTAAAATTCCATTAATTTATTAAATAGAATTTTAATGAAAAAACATTGTCTTTAAAAATTTCTCAGAGAAAATATTAATTTAAACAATCACATTTCCTGTGGTTTAATGCTTTTCCCAATACACTTGCTTTTATCTTAAAGCTTTATCTAACAATACATAGTAACTTCTTTTAATTTATTAGGGGCGTTTTACATATTACATTATTTACATTTTTAAATAAATAAATTATTTTTATTTAAATTCATTCATCATTAAGTGATTTATTTTAATTAAGATTTCATTAAAGGAAATTTCATTTAATTAATTTCATTCTTTAAATTATTCCAACAAAGTTTCTATATAAATATCAAATTCATCCTTGGGTCATGACGCATGATTCCCTTTTTCTTTTTGTCCATAAAAATAAACATTAGGATATGTATGGAAATTACAAAATGAGTTAATAATTCTTTAAAAAAATTAACATATTTTTTTAATATATTTGTAGTTTTTTTTTAAATTTCTAATAATGTTTCTAATAAGGATTGAACAGTTAACTACAATATTTATTTGTGCTATTGTTTTATTATTTAATATAATAACAGGTGAATAATATTTAAATGATTTAAATAATTATTTTTTAAATTATTTTAAAGTTCATTATTTGTTTATAAGATAAAATATATAATGGACTTTAATATATATAACAATATTCTCACATTAGCTCAACATTCTTGCCTAAAATTTAAAATAATTTAGTTAAATCAAATGATGTTGCTTATCAACAACCATCAACATATCTTAGTCCGGCTAAGGAAAGCTATTATGAAGGCCCAAACGAACATGAAGCTAATTTGTTAAAATGTTTAAAGGAATTGGGGGAAATAAAAAAGAAAAGCGGTGATTTCTTTTAAAAATAATTTTTTATTTTAATAATTTTAGGTGAAGATTATAAATATTCTTCAACAAAAAAACCAAATTATAAGAGAAAAGAATATATCAGTGAAGAAATTGATTCCTATGAACGTGATTTTCCGGCGAATTATGAAGTAAATAAATTTAATTTTTATAAATTTATTCATTTTTATAGCCAGCTTTTCCATATGAGAAACTTAAAATTTCTGACGTTATTTATCCGTAAGAATTCTGAATTTTAAATTAATTTACAAGATAAACAATTTTTCTATCCTCTCTGACAAAATTAATCTTTTTTAGATTATTTTAAAATTATAATTTTTAAATAAAATATTTAAATATTAATATTTGTAGACTAAAACACAAAAAGAAGAATTATTACCCTGAGAGGAAAAACGGTAATAATTTACTTAAATTAGCTTTAATAAAATTTAATTTAAAATTTTTTTTCGCAATTTTTGCATTCTAAATATTTTTTATTAATTTATTTAATAGATTATACAACAAAAACTTCATATCCCAAACCTGAAACAACTTATAAAGAAGAAAAGCCAGAAAATAATTATGAAAGTAAGATGAATTATAATTTTAAGACTTTTGAGAAAAATATGAGAAAAAGTATTAATAAATAGAAAATAAAAAATACAAAATATAGAAAAATATTTTTACAATTATAGTAGTAAGTTAACAAAATTTTTTGAATAAACTTTTTTAAGAAATATTACTACTAATTAATTAATTAAAAAAGATAATAATGGATATGAAGAAAATGAGAATAATTACAACAATAAATATCCTCATGAAAACTCTCAAGAGAATTACAATAGCCGAAAAGATGAAGAAAAACATTCATATGAACATTACAATAATGAACACAAATCCGAAGAAAATAATTATAAAGAAGAGGATTATCAACATAAAGAGGAACATTTAGAGGATCCGTTCGGTAATAATTAATTATTTTAAAATTTGGAGCAAAGAGTTTTTTGAAAATTAATTTTTAAATATTAATTTTCTTCCAAAATTTAAGATAATCATTACGAGCAACAACCAATTATTCCTGCCCAACCTCCCCCTGATCAACAAATTGTACAATTACCACCCAATTTAGCACCTCTTTTGCCTTCTAATTTATTTCAAGGAGGAATGGAAGAACCAATTTTAATACCTGCCCAACCTCAGTCACCAGAACCACAAGAAAAACAGCCAGAGCCTTTACCACCTAATCAAGCACCTCCAAAAGAGGTGAAAATATAAAAATTCTTTTTAGAAAAATTAAAATATTTATAGGCACCTAAACCAGATACAGCAATACAACCAAAAATTCCCACTAAAATTAATAGTAGATTAAATACCCAACCATTTATTGGCACAACAGACTGCCGACTTAAGCCTGTTGAGAATTGTAGTTCACGTGCTACATGTGAAAAAACTGGAAAGTCAATAGATTGTTCTATTCCTCCACACAAACAATCTATGATTTTTGATGCAGCTTCACAAAATTGTCGACATATAGATTCTATACCTGAATGTACTAGAGGTAGATAGAGGGATAAAATAAATAAAAATATTTTTTAAGAAATATTTTGTATTAACAAATCTCCAAATTGGTATTTGATTGGAGGAAATTGTACTCGAATTTCTTATTCTTGTGGGCTGGACAAGAATATGAATAGAAAACTTTGTGATAATATAAATGAATTAATTAATCCAGCAAAATTAAATGAATGTATTGACAAAAGAGAAATTCCCGGATGTTGAAGAAATTAAATAAATAATTGATAAAAATATGGAAATATTTTTTAATATAAAAAATAATTCTGTTTAATTTTAATTTAATTTTGAATAAATAAAATTTAATATAAAATTCATATTTAATTTTTTTAAATTTTTTAAATAATATACCTATATTATTATTGTTTATTTAACCTTGGAGTTCTTTACTTTTTATCAATTTATTTATTTATAAAATACTGTTTACCGTCTTGATTGACTGATTAAATAATGTAAATAAATAAATATTTAGTTCCACCCTTGTTATCATTTTATCTTTTAATATTTTTCTTTTTTAATTATTTTGTTTTTAATATTTAAATTAAAATAAATAATTTTTTAAGGAAAATATGAAAATAATTTTAAATAAAATAAATAATTTATTTATTATTTTCCTCATTTTATTATTTTTTAATAAAATATTAGTAGCTTTTAATTATTTTAATAATGAGGAATTTAATTGTGCTTCCCTTCCACCAGCACTTTGGTGCTCAAATGATAAAATTCAAGAAAAATGTCAAACAAAACAAAAATGTTTGGAATATATAAATTCTGTTAAAAATAAACCTGTACATATTACTTTACTTTTTGAGAGTCTTTGTATGTTTAAAATTAATTTATTTGCTTATTAAATTAAAAATCAGACAGAGATCTTTTTTCAAGTTTTTCTCTATTAAGAAAATACTAGAAATCAGACTTAGTAATGGACATGGATTTTGGTATCCGGATATTTACGGCGGATACAGGCGGATATTCGCAGGCATTTTTAAATTATCTGTATCCGTATCAATTAACAAATTTACTAGAAATATAATAAATTTTTTAAATTTCTTAGAAAATTTCAACTATAACTTGTATCTAACTTTAAATATTTTTTAATTTAAGGCCCAGACTGTCAAAACTTTATCTCCAAAAAGTTACTTGATTTTTGGTTAACCTATAAAGATTTTGCAAGAATTGAGTTTGTCCCGTTTGGAAATGCTAAAATACTTAAAGTTTAGAATAAAATTTTTATAAAAAATAATTTTTTAAATTAAAGAACGGCACAATTAAATGCCAACACGGACCAGAAGAATGTAGAATAAATAAATATGAAGTAAAAAATAATAATTTTTTTAAATAAAAATAAAATTAATTACTTAATTAGTCTTGTGCTATTCATTATATGCACGAACCTTTACCATTCATTCATTGTTTGGAAACAAAAATTGCAGATGGATTTAAACTTGAAAAGGCATCCAAACAATGTTATGCTAAATTACATTCACTTCCACATATCTACGACCAAATAACGTATTTTCTATTTTTTTAAACAAGGATTTAATATTTTAAATTAAAAAAGAGGAGGGCGAGGGGATTTATTAAAATATTGGTGACTAAATAAATAAATAATTTTAAAAAACTATTAGAAATTAATAAATAAATAAAATAGGTTATAAAACAAAAGTTTTTACCAATAATTTTTTAAAATTAATTTATAAAGGCATTGTTTCAATGGAGTAAAAGGAGATAAATTGCAAAAACTAGCTGCCGAACAGACATTTAATATTTGGCCAGATAAAGTTGGATTTTTAATTAAAAATTAGAATAAAAATTTGTTATTAGAAAAGCGAGTATTTACATTAAATTAAACGACTAATAATTTCTTTGTCAATTTTTAGCATGAATTTGTGCCTTGGATTTTAATAAACAATGTTAGTTTAAGCTCCCAACAATTTTTTATGCGTCAATTACCTACTTTAATTTGTCAAGTTAATTATTTAATTATTTCTTATAAAATATTTTTTTCCCAGGCGTATGTTGGGGATGGGCATATTAAGCAATGTGAAGCATTTGGAAGTGTTAACAATAATAAATTAATTGAAGAAAATAATGAAGATGGATCTGAAATGGATAATAATGAAGAAGAATATTTTTTATAAAAAAATAAATTTATTTATTTAATATTTTTAATTTTATAATCATTAAAATTATTTTACAAATTATTTACATATTTTTAAAATAAAATATATTCTAAAAAATAACCAAAGAATGCATTCGAAAGAAATAGAAATAACAAAAATTAAATTTTTTGGAATTGGTACAATAAAAATTCGATAAGTAAATATTTACTAATGCCCGGCACCAGACCTGATTTGAGTTCACTATTGCATTTAGAAATTTTTCGGTTGTTCAACTATATCCCGGATATGTTTAGCCATACTATTAATTTTTGTTTAAAATTAATTTATCTCTAATCAATAAAATCTTTTTCAAATCCTCAACTTTCTTTCTTATTTTTTCCTCAAATTCCCGATCAACTTTTATCTTAATCAATTAACTTAAGTAAAAAGGTAAGAAAACAAAAGTTGGTTCACTAACAGCACTCGATATACAGAGAAAAGCAGATAATATTAGCTGGAAAACTGCTGCTAAAAGTATTGATGAGACGTGGGGATTGGAAAATATTTAATGGGAAAAATGGAAAGGCGCAGCAAAAATATATTATTCTTGTAATGATCTTTTAAAAAGAGAAAAAGCGGATGTACATAATTCTTTACTTTTATAAATTCTATTTAATTTTCTCAACATAAATACCTTTTTGTTAAACAAAACATTTAGTCATTTTTGTTTTTTATTCATTGATCAAATGATCTTAAAAATTGATATTGAAATTTAATACTTAGCAATTTCGTCATTTAAAATTGATGTGTAGGTGAAGTGTCTAGGTAATATGAGTATTTATATAGTTTAAGTTAAATGATTTTTAAATAATTTAAACTTAAATTAATTTAAAATTAGGATTATTTTAATTTTATTTTTTAATATTTGAGAGAGATTTAAAGCTTGGAAGTCAAGTTCATATAGGGGGTTAACAGGTATATTTTCTTGAGTAAATTCTGTTGTTTCAACGATTTATCAACATTACAAGTGTATTAATAAAGATTAAATTAAATGAATTATTCCATTTATTTTTTATAACAGTTCCAGATTAAATATTATTTTAATTTTTTAAAGTTTTTATTATTATTAAATTATAGTTAAAAATACTTATATTTAAAAATATTTATTAAGTGTTTTCGGATGCAATTGTTCCTCTTTTCTTTTTTCTTCTTTAAACTTAGGAAAGAATATATGTATTGCCAACTGTCACCAGTCTTGTTTTAAATATTTTTGGCCAATAATTCCCTCAAAATTTCTCTTTTAGTATAGCCAATTGGTTAGAAATTCTACTAGAGCTCATCCAAAATAATTTTAAACAATGTCCATTCGACATATTCTTTGAACAAAATTTTAAATATAATTTTTAAAATAATAATTAATTTTAACTTAATAATTTTTAATTTCCCTAAATTTGAGTAATCTGACCTTGGTGGCCAATTTTTAAAAATTAAAAAAATTTTAATTTTTATAAGCTAAATGGACAGAAATTCCCTTATTAAACATCTCAAGCAAAATTTTCAAATTTATTTAATCAACTCCAATCCATTAACTATTTAATATAAAATCCTTATTTTTTACAATCCCTCACTTAACACATCCTTTTTCTCCTTCCTTTCTCATTTTATTACACTCACATACACATGTGGCCAAATAACAAGGAAATAATTAAGGATAAAATTAAGAGGATGAGCTAACTTGATTTGTTGATTTCTAAGTTGATTTGATTTCCTAAGTTGATTTTGGAAATTTTGAAATTTCCTAAGTTGACTAAGTTGATTTCCCTTTACTTTTATTTATTTTTAAAATCCTAAATAGAATTGCTATAAATAAATATTTTTATTTTATTTTTTATTAAAAAACTAGGCAAATATTATTGAAATTGAGAATTTTTTGTTAATAATATTTGAATTTTACAAGATTAAATACAAATATTTTGAGATGATTTCTGTACAAATAAAATTAAAGCTAATTTTTATATTTTTTTCTTACAAATTAGTAAACCTAAGTCAGAACTTCTAAAAATTCCCGCATTTTTTTAAATTACAATTTACTAAATAATTCGACAAAACATTCAAATCTTTTTAGATTAAAATTAAAATAGAATTATTATTTTTTAAAATGCCACCAACAAAATCCTCAACAGAAAATATTTCTCAAGAAAATACCAAAGAAGAACAAGAAAATGAATTAAAAGAAAATAATAATAATACTAACAACAAATCATCATCATTAGATGCCTTATATGCAGCAGCTAGGGAGGAATTTGATTTAGATTTAAGTCCAACAGAATCGGCAATTAAAACATTAAAAGAAGGGAGGGAAATACAAAAATTAAATGTTGTTAGAAATTTGGGGGAATTATTTGAAAATGAACCGAAAGAAACGATTGAAAAAATTATACCTTTAATTCAGGTAAATTTAAAGAAAAAAATATTTAAAAAAAATAAATAAAAAAAAGGAAATATTAAATATTGAACCAAGTAATTTGGATATGCATTGTGAAGCAGCAATTGTTTATAAAAATTGTATTAAAGATAGAAAACTTAGAATTAAATGCCCGTAAGTGAATTTAAATAAATAATTGTTGTGAATTAAACTTTTAGTGAATTACCCGAAATATTATTAAATGCTACACTTGAAAATATTGAAATTCAAAAAGAAAATGGTAAAGAAATAAATAGAAATTATTTTTTAAATTATTTTTAAAGTTACGGCCGCTGCTTGGCTTGAATCGTTAGTAGATATATCTGAAGCTGTATCTCAACGTTCTGTTATTTCTGTTGTAAGTTAATAGAAAATATTAAGAAAAATATTTTTTCGATTAAAGAGTCCTCTAATTACTTTCCAAGTTTAATTCTCGTTCATCTATTTTTAATGGAAATTCCCTTGTTCCCTCTCGAGTAAAAGAATTAGTTTATTACCTTATTTCTTTAATACATTTATTAGTATTTTATTTAAGCAAAGAAAAAATAAAAAGAAAAAAAAACTTGCAAATATTTTAAAAGAAAAGTTTTTTTTATTTTGTTTTTATAGTCCCTAAGGGGATGTAAAAATACTTGTTGTTTTTTAGTATATTTGGATAAAAAGATATTGGAACGGAAAAAGGAAAGAAAAAATATTTTTATAATAACAAAGTAATATTTAAAAATAAAAATAAATATATTTGTTTATTTCCTAGACAACGATGAAATTTAAATAAAAAAAGAATCATTTTTAGATTGTTCCTTTGGCTATTTCTCAATCAGATTCTTCTAGGAGAGTTCAGAGACGAATTATCTCAACAAGACTTATTGAGAAACTGGCGGCTTTAGTGCCTAAAGAAATGTAAAAATTATATTTAATTTTTATTGAATTTAATTTTCAAGATATGATTTTTCACCCCTCCCCCAAAAGGGGAGTATTATTTAACGGGGGAGGGGGGAGGGGAGTGCTAATTCAGGGGGGCTATTTTAGGAAATACGGTGCATGGTTAATTAAAAATATTTCCATTTTTCAAAATTAGTTTACAAAGAGAACTTTGTCCATGTGTCCAAATGCTTTGTCGAGATCCAAGTACTTCAGTACGCACATCTATTGCACAGCGGCTTGTTTTTATTGCTCAAGCATTAAAGTAAGTAAAAATTTAAATTAATTTTAAATTCCCTCCCCTTCTTCAATTAAAGTAATTCTGCAGACAGCAGTTCATTATTATTACCTTGTATAATTGAACTTTGTAAAGATGAGGACCCAGCTGTTCGTGAAGCAACTTTAGGCACATTAGATGATTGTTTACCCCATTTTAGTAAAGGTAAAAATAAATTTTAATAATTTTTTAAAAAATCCTTTTTAGAATCAAAAAAGTCAATATTATCCCCTCTTTTACATAAATGTGCAGAACAAGCATTAATTATGAGAGATTCAAGTTTACCTTTAATTGCTAAACATTTGGGTGTTTGGTTACAATCTATGAAGGAAATAATTTCTGGACCATCAGAAATGCGTTGGTGGTTGGATGTTTATACTAGAATTTTGGATTTTGGAAATAATTTTAATAATAATAATCAGCAACAACAAAGTAAATTGAAATTATTTCGAGAAAAAAATTTAAAAATTTTAAATTTTCCTTTACTAAATTTAAATTTATAAAATTAGTAGATAGTAGGTTGGGCGGATCGGGATCCCGGCATAAAATCGGAATTTTGGTTTCGACTGTGGGATCGGGATTGGCCAAAATCTGGATCGTGATTCAAAAAAACCGGGATAATCCCGCCCAATCCCGACCGGGATCCCGATCCCTTCAGTTTATCATGAAAAGAATGAATTTTTATTTTAGATTTTCTGTATAAATTTAGTTAATTTTCTAATTAATAACTTTTATCCATTTAACTTTTCATTTTCTAATAAAAAATTATTAATTTAAATAATTTTCTAATTAAAAAGATTCAAAAAACAAATCTTTATCAACAAATAATGCAAATACATTTTCTACAAATGGTTGTATTCACAATAATGCAGGTTCTGCTGCAAGTTATGAACATTTACGTACTTGTTGTAGAAGAATGTGTGCTTATAATTTTCCCGTAAATTTTTAAAAATAATTTTTAATTAGAACTCTTTTTAAAAGTGTATTGTCTCAGTATTTGGGCAAGACCAACAATTATTTTGTCAGAAATTATTGCCTATTTTGGAAAGATTTTGTAGAGATCCTGATGAAGAAGTGCGGAGTACTGTTGCTTCTGGATTTCATGAAGTTTTGGCTCAGAGAAATTGTTTTTTTGAAGGAGGTAATTTGACAGGAAATATATGGTTAATTAAGGGAGATAAAATTGTATCTTGTAGTATTAAGTAATTGCTAACTTAAAGTGGGTTGGTATTGAGGTTATTCAATCTGTAACATTTTTTGCTAGATGTTCGTTTTATCTAAAAATTATTTAAACTGATTAAAATTTTATTGGCGGAAAAGTCTGCATTCTATAAATAGTACATTTATTTATTAAACAAAAAATAATAGTAATCGTTGAGAATTTGGAAAGGAAAAACTTTAATTTTCGTTCAAAAAATTATTTCTTTAGCCTCAACAGCAAATTTAAAATCCAAACAAAACGAACAACAACCACAACTTTTAAATTCATTTGTTGAATTATTATCTAGTAGTAATGGAAGTAGTGAAGTTGTTCAACATTTAACTGGAAATTTAGAGAAAATTTTACCTTTTTTATTTAAAGAAATAAATTCTAATGAAAATAAGAAAAATGTAAATTTAAAATAAATAATTTAATTATTAAAATTAATTTTTTAGACAGAAAAACTTCAAACAAAATTAAACCAATTAATTATTAACTGTAATTCATTATTGAGAGGTACTGGGTTTTGGAGAGCTCATGAATCTTATTTAAATTCTATTGCATCACTTAAAAATCTTTTAAGTATTCGAGAAATTAAACAAAATTTTGTGCCTTTATTAAAACAAGAAGTACTTAATGCGGTAAAGAAATATTTTAAATTTTTGAAAAATTTATTTAATCATACAGTTTAACCTTTATTAATTGCCCACCCTCAAATAAATAGCATACTTCCATTAATTACCCCATCCAGCGATAGATTGAAACAATAATTACCCCCTATCAAATACCCTAAAACACGTTTAAATTTCAAACCTCGTATAATTACCCTCCCTCGATTAATTACTCCCTCCAGCGGAAGGCCGAAACAATAATTACCCAGGGTAGTTATTAAAGGATATACGGTAGGCAGAAATTGTCTTTTCTCTTTAAAAAAATTTTTCAATTGTTTTACAAAACACATGTAGGTAAATTCTTTTAAAACTTTAGAAAGCCCTTCCATGTCGAGTAGCAGCTGCAAATTCTCTGTTACTTTTAATGCGTCAATTGCCCGTATCTTCTGATCGTCTTGATATTGTTAAATTCTTTACTGAAGGGCTTGGACAACATTTGAGTTGTTATAGAAGAAGAATTTTATTGGATATTGTGCCTACTTTATTACATAATTTTAGTAGAGAATTTTTTGTTGAACAATTTTTGCCTGCAATTTTAAAGGTTTTTATTGGGGAATTTAGCTATATTATTATAAATTTATTTTAGCTCAGTTTGGATCCAATATCTAATATCAGGTGAATAATTAATTAAAAAATTACATTTCCTCTCTCTTTTTTTACCGCAATCCCCGTTCCTCGTAAAATATTTCCCCGCCCGTGGGGGGATATAAACTATGCGTTTATATCCCCCGACGTCCGCAAAAATTTGTCTGCACTTTTTTCCTTCTTTTTCCTCTCATAAGGATTGAAAATGGTCAAGTTAATAAACCCACATTCTCTCTTTCTTCTCCTTACTTCTTTTCTCATAAATACATAGAATTGCTATTTTTGTGTCTGTCGTCGGTCTAGTCTTTTTTTCAGGCTTTATTTTTAGAGTAAGTCGAGTACCGAGTAATTGGGAAAAACCGAGCTCGAGTAATCCGAGTATTATAATCCCGAGTTCCGAGTCGAGTAATTACGCAAAAAACCCGAGCGGTCGAGTCGAGTAACTCGGGCTCGCTCGAACTCGACTTACTCTACTTATTTTTATCGAGTCGTGCCGTACGTGTCTTGTTCGGACCTTTTTATAAAGATTCATTTTAAAATCATTGTTAGATTGGAGTGATATTGTTATGTCCGAGGGTGTTTCCGTGTCAAATATCATAGGCTCGACTCGATACTTCGATCCGAGTCGGTCCGTTTTGGACCGATTCGGATTTTTTGGACCGACTGTCATTTATATGAATGATACTTATTGTATTTGACGTTTTTTAGAATCTACAAAAAAATTCTTGAGCTTTGTTTTTACTTGACCATTCTTAATATTTATGAGAAAGGAAGAAGCAAGGAGGAAAAAAGAGAATGTGGGTTTATTAATACTTACAATTTTTAACCCTTATGAGAGGAGAAAGAAGGAAAAAGTGCGGACAAACTTTTGCGGACATGGGGGGATATAAACGCATAGTACCAATTAGGGTTGGTTTTGGTCGGTGACTGAGAATAAGATTTGAATATAAGATCATTCATAAATTAATAAATTTGTTTTTTTTCTCAAAATATGTTGTAATTATTTTTTTTTAATTAACTAAAAATTCCATAAAAAATTCCAATATAAACATTTAACTTTATTAGACTTCAACTTTGTCGAACACTTTCAACTATTCGACGATATTTAGTTTTCCCTAAAGATGATGAATGCCTTTCTAGCCTGGAAAGAACTGTTCGGGATTTGTTAGCTTCTGAACAAAATCCTTTATCTCGCCAATTAATCCAACAATTTGCTTGTGAACTTTCAAGAACTGAAAGTGACAAAAAAGAATGTAGAGCAAATAGAACAAAATTGGCGGAAGAAAAGAAATTATGGACAGAAGTGGAAGAGAAGGAAGAAAAAGAAGAAGAAAAGAAAGTGGAAGTAAAGGAAGAAATAAAAATAAAGGAAATTAATAAAGTAAAGGAAGAAGAAAAAATAAAAGAAATAATTCCCAAAAAAGTGTTAATTAAAAAGAAAAAACAAAGAGAAAGGGAAACAGGATCTCCGGAAAGTGGAATTTTTATTGATGAAGAAGAAGAAAATAAACAAAAAAATAAGGAAGAAGGAAATGGACTTTTAAGGTCGGCAACAACAACAAATGTTCCTGTACATGTTTTGGATGTAAAATAATTTAAATAAATTTTTAGTCCATTAAAATTGCGGTTCAACCCCCGTTCCCCAGGGAGGTAATTCCCCGGGAAACAGGGAATTTTTTTTCCACGCGGTTCGAATTCCCCGAAACCCCCGTTCCCCGTAAAATATTTCCCCGCCCCGTAAAATTGAACCTTAATTAAAATTAGGGCTGGTTTGGGTCGGTGATTGAGTATAAAATCATTTTAAAATTAATAAATTTGTTTTTTTCTCAAATAATATTTTAAAATTTTCTAGCCCCCTTCAAAACACACCTCTGCTCAAATTCCTCATTCTCTTTCTTCTGATACAATTGCTCAATTGGCTGCTTATAAATCAACATCAAAACAACCTTCTTCTTCAATTCCCCCACCAGTTCCTCCAAAACCAAATCGTTGTCCACCTCCTCCAACAGAATTATCTCTTCCTCCACCAACATCGTCTTCATCTTCTGTTGGCACAGGCGGTTGGCGAAGGAATATTCCTTCTTCTTCATATTCATCACCAACTTTTTCAGTTAACTCTTCAAACCCAAAAATGGCAATAATAAGACCCCAACCACAAGTAACAGTTGTTCAACGTGCTTGTTCACCTATGCCTTCTGGCGATAGAAAAACTAATTATTCTTCGATGATTGGTTTAGAAAGAGGACATAGTAGAGATAATAGTGCAGTGAGAGAAAATAATGTTGGCGGTACTTATTCAAGAAATTCACGTTTACCTCTTTCTACAGGTTAGAACTTTTTCTCAAAAAAATTTTTCCCTTACTTTTTAAAAAAAATATATTAAGCTCGTTATCGTTCCAATACACCAACAACAACCCCAAATACTCAAGTTCAACATTTGGCTAACAAATTTATGGGTTCAGGTGGTGATGGCACTGAACCAGTAACAGATTCCTTACGTTTAAATAAATATAAACCAAGAAATTCTGTTTCAACATATTCCTCCTCTTCTTCCTCAAATTCTTCCCCAAAAATAAATACTAAAATACAAACAATGAGCCGTTCAGCAAGTGCTCTTCCACCCCCATCTACTACTCGCAATAGACGTTCTGTCTCTCCAGGAATTAATATTTTAAATCAAAATTCTTTACAAACATCAACTTCTTATAGCTCTATTTCTGCTGCTGCAGCATGCCAAAATTCTGGGAATGGAGTTAGAATAATACAGCAACAACAAACACAAAGACGTCCTTATGGATTAATGAGAGTTCAAAGCACAAGTAGTGCTGTTGAAAGAAAACCGGCACAGATTCGATGTCAAGTTATTAGTATGAATTAAAAAGAATATACTTTTTAAGTAAATAAAATATTGTTAAAAAAAGTTTTTAATATTTTAATTAATTCTTAATGTTTTTAATTATTTGCTCAAATTATTTAAATATATAAAAATTTGTAATAATTTTGAAGAGAAATATTTTTAATATTTAAATTTTAATCTAGAAAAAAATTGTTTAGAAATACATATTCAGTGGTATTTCTCTATTTTGTACCTTTTTTTAACTCGAGACAAATCTTATTTTTAAAATTTAAATTTTTGTTTCAAAAGTCAATAATTAAAGGATAATTAATTATTTTATTTTTTATATTTAGAATATTTCTGTATATTTGTTAAGTTTGTTATATTTGTTAAGATAGAGGCATTATAAACCGATTAAACCAGAAGAATATTTTTGAAAATAAATTTTTTATAAATTAAAGAAGAACAATTTTTTAATAATTTTATTAAAAAAATTTATTTTGAATATGTATGTATTTATTAATTATTTGAATATACTTTTTAGGGTAATAATAGAAAACAATTTTTAAAAAGAGATAGAGGCATTATAAACCGATTTTGTTGATTAATTAAAAATATAAATTAAATAAAAGAAAATATGTGGATATGTAAATATATTTATAGAGATTTTTTTAAAAATTATTTTGAGATCAAATAATTAATTAGAAAGTAAAGGAATTGTGACTTAGATTTGAAAAAAAACAAAATTAGTAATTAATTAATTAAACAGAATTATTTTTGCCTTCCTTCCTTTTTTCTTTAATAATTTTATTCAAAAATTATCGCCTCTTTTTTCACTCCAAATTTTTCTTTCCAACCAATAACACAAAGACAATCGAATGGCAAAAGAACTAAATCAGGTTTATATCCAACATTATTTGAATGGATTTTGGAAGAAGAATGGTGACGAACTAAAGCATTAACCCAACCTTTAAAATTAATTTCTTTCTAAAATTTAAAATAAAAAAACTCAACGATATGTATTTACACAATTAGCCCCAACAGCACATTCTTTACATTTACTTTTCTCAATTGGCATTTCATCGGCAGAATGTTCACAAAATTTAACTTGAAATTTAGTGTTTGGATGTAAATAAACTGGCTCTTCAGTTGTTTTACCTTTAAAAAATTATTTTCTTTAAATTTTAAAAAATTAAATCCAAACTAATTGAACGAATAATTGAAGCATTTAAATATTTAATTTTAGAGCAAACACTTTCTTCCTTCACTTCCTTCTCCTCCTCTTCTATTAAATTATTAGAAATATCAAAATCCTCAATTTTTTCTGTTAATTTTAAATGAAGTTTTCCTTAATTTAAAAATATTTTTTAATGATTTAAATTAATTAAATACCTCCAAGTAAATATAAATTTTTATTTCCATTAGTTAAAGATCGACAATTAACTGAAGAACAACAAACAAATAAAAAGAAGGTAATTATTAATAAATTTTTTGTAGAAAAGCAAACAGTCAAGAAATGGCAAGACATTATTAATTAATTATTTTTTTCTAAATTAAATTAAAATTTAAATTATTGGAAAGTTAATTTAATGAAGGAAACACAAAGTTAGTCTTAATTGTGATAATAAAGCATATTAATTTTTTAAGTGAAAATCAGAAATACCGTATTTTTTGTATTAGAGCCCCATGGGGCTCTATTTTTCAACTATCCTTCAAAGTGGGGCTTTATTACAACGTGGGGCTCTAATAGAGCGTGGGGCTCTATTTTTCAACCAATTTTTGAAAATATATAAGGGAATTTTCAATTATAAGTAAGGCAGTGATATGTATGCAACTGCCTATTTTTTACTCAAATGGTGAAATTTGTCACAAAAACAAATTTCACCATTGTGATATTTCTAAAGTTAATAGTTAGCGTGTACAGTATGGCACGATTATTTGGATTTGAGGTGGATTTAAAGCCGAATTTTAATTTGTGGATGGTTCGAATCCTATCGAGCCTTTGAAGGTTCGATTATATTTTGCTTCAGTCCGCACGGTCACTACGTGTATATATCTCGGTTCAGTCCCAATTGAAGAATATAGATGGGATTAAGGTGATTAAGAAGATATTTGGAGATTAATAAGGATATCGAGTGATTTTGAGAGTATAAATGATTTGGGGATTAATCGGATAGCGGAGGATTTCTGAGATGAATCTGCTGATAACTAGGCTGATCTCGCCAATATCTATGCTTGCCAGTATATAAAAGAATCTCTGATATCTCTTATAACATCCAAATCCCTCTATTGTAGAGGATTTGGAGCAGCTTAAGGTGTTTTTATCCCCAAATATTCTCTTAATCACATATAATATCTAAATTTGGCACAGAACATTAGATAAAAGGAAAAAAAACAGTATAGTTATTAAAAAATAATAATTTATTATACAATAGGTAAATTTTAGAAAATAGGGCTCTATTTCAGCGTGGGGCTCTAATACAGCGTGGGGCTCTATTTTTCAACTATCCTTGAAAGTGGGGCTTTATTACAGCGTGGGGCTCTAATTCAACGTGGGGCTCTAATACAAAAAATACGGTATATAGTTAAACTAAGGCTCCAAATGAGAAATAGAGTAAAGGATCAAGAGGGGCATTTAATCAAGAAGGTGAATCAAAAATGACAAAGGAACATATAAATAAGAATAAATTCAAAAAATGTTTTGGGGGAAGGCTTTTGAAATGACAAAATGTAAAGATTTAAAAATTTATTTTTTAGATCATACACTAAGAATTAAAGACATAAATAAAAATAAGTACATCCATCCACTAGTTAAAAACACAAAATTTAAATAACAAGGAAGCTAAGAAAAATATTATTATTATTCTTATTTTTGTTCAATCTACGCAAAACAAACTCGTTAAATTTTAACAATAGACAAACTTTTTATTTTAAAAATGAGTAAATTTAAAAATATAAATAAAATTTTAGGTACTTATTTAAATTGCGCAGGTTCATTTATGTATTTTATTTATTCACAAAAAAGTCTTTAAAAATTAATTTTTAAAAATGTCGTGATATCATTGACGTAAATAATTTGTTCTTTTATTTGCAAAAATCATTTCATTTTATTTAATTTAAATATTAATTTATTATTATAATTACTTATTTAATTTACGTAAATATTAATAAAATTTTCAAGAAAATATTTTGAGTAAATATAATTCTTGACTTTTTCCTTAAAATTAATTTATAATAAAAGTAGAAAGAAATAACTATTTAATAATAAAAGAGTTTACAGAATGACGAATTAAAATAGGAGGGAATTTCCAATAAGCCAATTAAATCCCTAATAATAATATTTTATTCTGACAATTAAATAGTTAATTTTTAATTAGGTATAACAGATTTAATTATATCTCGAACTTTCGCTGTCTCTAAGAATCTAAATTGCAAGTTCAAGACTATAGTACCGGATTCATAATTGTTAAATCCGGGACACACTGGTATAGTTCTATTCACCTCGACAAGCTGGTGTGGTTCGATTCAGCTCGTCGATGTGCATACCTTGCCTTCGCGGGACCATATAGTGTACTAGAAACCCGGGAATCGGAAAACGGCAGTCGGGTCGGGAAATGACATCGGGAGTCGGAATAGGTATAACGGAGCATTACCCAGTGAATAGTTCTAGTGATTATTGTTTTTAAATTTTTATTAAAATTATTTTCTCAATAAAATAAAGTTTTTTATAAATAAACAAATAAATTATATTTATTTTAAATTAAACTAAAAATATTTCTAATTCGAAAAAATATTTATTATTTAATTTACATTTAATTAATACAAAAATATTTTTATTATTTTTAAAAATTTTTCTTTTATTAAGTAATTGCACTTTAAAACAATTTTCTAAAGTTATTATTTGCA